AAGGGGTTTCTCCGTTCAAGTTAATGTATGGTCGAGAGATACGTGGTCCACTGAGTCTCTTTTGAAATCTAGTTGGAGTGGTGAAATACTGATACCTTTAAATATGAAGCAATCAGTTGTTGATTATTGACAAGGAAAATAAACTTAGAACGAGCAGCTGATCAAGCATCCTTGATAGCATCTGAGAAACAGGCAGCTTATTCGAATTACTTTAATCGTCGAGCTATACCTAAAGAATTCAAAGTAGGCGACAAAGTTTATTTGCTTATTCCCGATTCGTCCAATAAACTTTATGCAAGATGGACTGGTCCAGGGGACATTATAAAATACTGTCCACCTCATTCATATAAAGTCAAACTCTCAGATGGGAAAGTAAAACATGTTCACGTGAATAAAATCAGAAAGTATATAGCTAGAGTAAATGCTGTGGGAGTTATTTTCGAAAATGAAGAAGAATTTGGAGAGATTCATCCAACTCCACAAGCTTCTCAAGATATGGAAGTTGTTCTCCAAAAATTGCAACTTGAACATTTAACGGGTGACCAACAGCAGCAAATTAAGCAACTCATAAGAAAGCACGAATCGTTATTTACAGGTAAAGTGAAAATTGCAAAGGTGGGTTTTCACAAAATAAAATTAAAACCCAATTATGAAAGGAAAAAGCCACATATCTACCGTATTCCTGAAACTTTAAAATCCAAAGTTGATGAACAAATTGAAGAGCTGTTAGAACTTGATTTAACAGAAGAAAGCAGTGCAGAAATTGCATATCCTATAGTTTGTGTGAACAAGAAAGATGGGGGAATTCGACTGTGTGTTGATTATCGTGCATTGAATTCTGTGACAATTACTGATGATTTTCCTATGCAAAATGCTTCAGAACTTATACATTCAATAGGACAAGCTAATATAATATCAACACTGGATTTACTAAGAGGTTATTGGGCTATTCCTATGGATCCTGAAAGTCGTGATTACACTTCGTTTAAAACCCATCGACAACAGTACAGATTTAAAGTTATGAGTTTTGGTCTGAAAAACGCTGCAGCAACATTTCAAAGGGAAATCAATAAAGCACTCCATGAATACAAAGACTTTACCAGAGCATATACTGATGACATTGCAATATTTTCAAAGGACTGGAAATCTCATATGGTTCATTTGGATATAATACTCACTAAGTTGGAAGAGCTTTGCTTTACAGTCAGTATCAGCAAATGTGATTTTGCCAAACCGCAAATAAAATATTTGGGTCATGTAATCGGATCTGGAAAACATCAAGCCGATTCTGAGAAGATAGAAGCAATTTCCAGATTATCAAAACCGAAGACCATGAAGCAACTCAGAAGCTTATTAAGCCTATGTAACTATTATAGGGACTATATTCCAAAATATTCTGAATTATTATATCCACTTACTGAACTTACAAAGAAGAAGATACCTGAAGAAATACCATGGAAAGAAGAGCACGACATTGCTTTCGAGGAACTCAAGAATGCTCTGATTAAAGCTCCATCGTTATATACACCAGTTTTGAGGCAACCATTCATTATACATAGTGATGCCTCACAAATAGGAGTTGCAGCATGTTTGTCACAAAATTTCAATGAACGCAATTATCCCATAGCCTATGCAAGTCAGAAGTTAACTCGAGCTCAGCAATCGTGGTCTACTATAGAAAGAGAAGCATATGCTATTGTGTGGAGTTTGAAAAAATTTTAAACCTGGATTTTTGGATCCAAAGTTGAACTTTACACCGACCATAATCCTTTACCTTACCTGACAAAATGTGCACCGCAATCATCTAGATTACAATGTTGGGCTTTTGCTTTACAAAAATACGAAATAGACATGAAGCATCTACCAGGAGTCAAAATGGGTAATGCAGATGCTTTATCCAGACTGATAGAAGGATGAATATCCTTTTCTTTTTATTATTTTTTTTATGGACCAAAAACATTTATGGGCAATTCATAAAGACTTTAATTTTGGCAGTTAGATTAATTGTTAATTTTCTTATTTTCTTTAAAGTTTATTGCAAGATATATCTTTACTAAGTAATATTTGTAAAGTTACTGAAATTAGTTACTTACAGCAATTAGATGATTTAAATGCAGCATTCTTAACCATTTAGAAGTTTTTCTTTAAAATGTATACTTGTAAGAGTTAAATCTCTTGTTATGCAAATGTTGTAATATTTTATATTTTCTTTTAGTTGATTAATATTTATAATGTTGAATTGTGAGCACCAGGCTTTATTGTCAGAATGTGTTTGGACATCCTGCCCAACCACAATCTTAGGGGGAAGGTGTAGTGCCTGGTCCTCCGAAACTGTAAACCTGAAAATAGATAGCGCCTTCTAGGCGGGAAAACGGTAAGTTCGAGACTGGCTTTTGGTGAGAGAGGCCGATTGCTCAGTATGCTCAGTGTGGTAACTTTATAAATTTAACAATCCTACCTTTTTATATATTTCTATTTGTACAAAGTGTATATAGTTTATGTTGATGGTGTGAATAAATTAAAAGATAAATCTGAGTCTATTAATTACGCCACCGGACACGGCTGGATCTTACACATATATACCTTTTAAAAGCCCACTTTTAAGTTATTTCTGTTCAACCAAAATGCTATCTTTAAATGCTCAGTTTTGCAGTTTAATCAAACATAACTTTAGCTTTTAATGTTGTAAAATTACTATTATTTATTTCAACACTTTTAACTGATTTAATAGCAAAACAAAAATTTTATACTGTAAACTAAAATTCACATTACAACTTATAAAAACAATCAGTGCATTTTCAGTGGGCAAAACTTTATACCAAAGTACTGTTTATGTACAGGTGAAAAATCTCTTTCAAACAAAAAAACAGAACTTTAGAAAAAATCATTTCTGAATTTTAAAACACGAAACTTTATTTAAAACAGATTAACTATCGAAAGCTATTTTTTTACCTGTAACTACTAGTCTACTAAGATAAAACTACTTTATCTTTTATGTATAATTACTGTTCTTGAAGTAAATGCTTTTTTAAACTGAAAAATCAAACATGTAAATATTTTCTTCATTGGAGAAGATTATCTAATCCTCAATTTCAAAAACAGAGGTATCACTGGTAATAGGTTTTAAACATACAATCAGATCAAACTGACTGTATTACATCAGCTTCCTTAGAACTTAAATTAGTATTTCACTGCTTATTAACCCCTTACTCACAAAAGAAAAAGGTCCAATGCTCATTATAATAAAAAAAGTATATGCATTACATTATACATAAGAATATCAAAATCACTGGGGTTTGAATTTATAACTAGTTATGTAAATATAATACAGGATGCTTCATAGAATTCATATTTGCATTTCTACAAATGTTTTGACGAGTCTTTTTAGTTCTCTCAATGCCAGATAAAAATTAACTTAGAATAGTACACTTAATTCAAACTTTTCTACACACTTAACATGTATATCTAATATATAAATATCTAAATTTTATTAACTCAAGAGCTTTACTTACAAAACCGAATCTCCTACATAAAAATATCTACAACAAAAGATCACTTCCACTTACCGGTGTGTCTACATGTGAAATGAAAATTTTATGTATTATGACTATTATTATTTTATGTATTACAGTATAAAATTTATGTATTTTGACTTATTTACACATCATTACTTTATGAATTTTTTAATATGGAAAACTTTATACCACAGCATAATCTTATAGTAATATCATATAAGTGTACATCATGTTGTCAAAATAATACAAAGAAATGCTTTTTTTTAATATGATTTTAGAGCTGTAAGAAGATAATTCTTAATCTACTTTCAGCAAACACCTAGTTTTTATTTCCCTCACATATTTTCAAAAATAAATATGTAGTCCCCCAATAATAAAATATGAAATTATTTATGAAAGGAAAAAAGGTTAAAAATAATGTATAAATTCAGGTTATAACTGTATTTACACTATACAAGAGATATCAAACTTATGGCTCTTGACTCATAGTTCACCATAAGAAAATAAAAATATATAATTATACTCTATTAAAAAAATTTGGAATTACAGGGATATTAAAACATACACGTAGCAGTGAGGAATATATACACAAACTTGAAAATAAAATAATCAGAACTTAATGGCATATTCTATTGGATGTAATGAAAGTATAGATAATAGTAGCGTAATGCAGTTAGCCATACTTTGTCAGACCTGTGATGTGGAATGACTAAACATCATTACATTACATGAAAACTTGACTGGAGAAGATGTATTTAGATTATTTGCTGAACTTCTGGAAAACTATGATTTATTTATGCCCTAGATATTCTGAGCAGTCACAGCTCAGTTTCTTCAGCAACTTAAAAAAAAAAAAAAACTCTTTATTTTACACTTAATAAATCTTCTCCTTTTCAGCATGAAAAAAAAAAAGGTTGTTAATTTTAAAATGAGTAAATTTGATTAATGTAAATGTTTAAAACACTTACAAATGCCTTCACAGTTAATCCTGCTCTTTCACATCACCATCACCTTGTATGCTATAAAAGCTGAAGAGATCGCTGAGTGATAGGAATGCAAGAGGTAATGAGTGTAAAGCTCTAAGTTTAGCTAAGAAAGCCAGTTTTAAAATTAATGTCTAAAATTTAAAAATGACAAAGAATTACAAAATACATTGAAGATTTTTTCATTCTTAAAATTACTGCATTGAAATAAAGTAAATTATTCATTTTTAAAATAAAACTCTGGAGGAAATTTACAATAATATTTACAGTAAAAATTTTGCATGAAGGACTTGAAGCTTTAGGACATACTGTTTAACAGTTAAATCTCAAGAAAGCTGATTTTATACAGTAAATAAGATAACTTTATCTATCAAAAATAATTTTCAATAATAATATATTTATATTTATATACATATATTTAAACATTTAACTACTAGAGAAAAGATTACTAACAATTAAATTTTGTTCTGTTTTGAAGAGCAAATAAAAAAATAATTTCACACTGATAAATAATTCTTTGTACCAAAGAATTTTTTACCTATGGTACAAAGTTATCTATGATACAACAAGATTACAACGAAAATGCAGTACAAAGTTTTAAATTTTCTGAATTTAAGATTTGGTGGGAAAATTTAAAACAGAAAATAAAAAATTTTCAGTTATGTAACAAACAGAATGTCCTTCAAAATCTCAGAAAAACCTATTTACAATAGTAAAATCACCGAAACAATAAATATAAATATATATATATAAGACCCCTTTCTATATAAGCTTCTAAAACTACACCGCATAAAAGGTAAAGCAGAATGCATTTCAAAATACGTTTTCCACAGAACATTACAATATTTCACAGGCATGATAAGTAATCAAACAAAACAAAAATGTGAAACAGAGAAGCTCCTCATGCTAGACTAATACTATAATAAACAAGTTTTAGAAAATTTTTTCTCTCATCATAAAAAATAAGTATAGAAATGTATATAACATTTTAAATATAAAAGAAAAACAAATGACATCAACATATAATTTTCACTCGGAAAATTTCGTTAGTTACAGTGATTTTGCTTTAAATACAGTTTTATTGACATGATATGTGACTATGTACAATGCAGTGAAAAAAATCTACATTTTATAAACTGATACCTGATTTTCACCTAGAACAAGCATCTCTGTGTGTCCATTCAATCGTCTACTACTGTAACAGAAATGGTAATAATATAAAGATGTATAAAAGAGGACGAGCGAGACGATGCGGCACGGAGTCCTGTCTGAGTGACATTCTCTTGGCAGTCATGTTGGCAAAATAGTTTCACTACTAAAGTTAGGCCTCGCTCATAATAGCGACACCAAGCAGTACTGACCCCCCCCCCCCCCAAAGGTCATGATTGTGACTAGAGACCAATATTTGTAATCCAGGCTGGACTTCACGGCCCCATAAGGTAGAACAATAAATTCCACTTATCAGTCACAGTAGGAATATTAGTTCACCATAAGAGTATGAGATTCCATGGGTGCAGCAGAATCATATAAAGTGTCCGTGTCTTGTGTGGGCTCACCTTGAAGTTGGCATTGGTTACTCAATGTACCGGCACCGCAGTCACAAAAAAATCTGCAACAAAATATACAATATGCTTTGCATAAATTTTGTAGTCCTTAAAAATTTTAGCCAATAGGGTATATGTAAAAGCAATGCCATATAACCGAGTATCATTGATAGGCTATTTTTAAAAAGGTGTAACTGAGCATTATAAATCTGATAATTTCAAATGAACCTGTTAATTCTATATTTGTTTTCAAATCAGAATTATTTCAATCAAATAACAAATGAAGAGAATGGAGGTAAATGAAACAGACATTTTACTTAATTAAATCATACTTTAATTATGAAAAACATACAGGCAGACAACCTACTTAATATGAAAAAAATAACTTTTAGAAAAGTAAATTTAAAGGGAAAATGCCTCATCTATATTATAAGCCTAAAGGGGAAAAAATTACTTGGCATATTTTTGTCCAGGAAATCAAACTTGAGATTAAATTAGCATCATTGAATTAACATCTTCTGCCATTCTTTCATGTAATTTTAAGAATTATCGAGTTTTAATGAAAGTTTCCCACCACCGCAAATATTGTCTGTGCAAACAGTTCGTGCTAGTGTGTTTAATAATATTTTGTCAAACAATTTTTGGCATTTGAAAGAAAGAGACTTAATTTAGAACACTATGTTGTGAAAATTATAAAAAATATCATTAAGTCTCAAATGAAACTATCATGTCACCAGATTAGAGGCATCCAATTCTGTTGCAAAAAGACAGCTACAGAATGTCACCAAATCACGTATACAGCTTTAGTTACTAATGCTGTATCACACGACACTGTAAAGGTTTGGTACCAAAAATTAAAAACAAGGACTATAACATTCACGAAGTAGAGTGCTCTGGCCTGCCTACTGATAATGATAAATCCTGCCTGCAAGAACTTGTAGAAGACCAATATGCAACCACTCGAGAGCTTGATAAGCAGTTAGATGTTAGAACTATGCCCATTAGTCGCACTATGCATCGCATAAATTTGATGTCCAAGTTCAATCGTTGGGTGCTGCATGAGCTGAACCCAAGAAAATAAGAACAGATGCGCTTCGGCTTGCACTAATCTGCTCGAATATCAACACAAAGGCAAAATTTTGAACCGGATCGTCACTTGTGATGAAAAGAGGATTTACTTCAACAACACAGGTCAAAAAGGGGGTTGGTCTACGCACGGTGAGCCCGTCGGCAGCGTCACAAAGCGCAGTTTCATTAACAAAAAGATCATGCTTTGTATCTGGTGGGATTGCCATGGTATTTATCCACAAACAGTATCTAGAAAAAGGTAAAACTCTTGACATTAAGGTGTACAGCAAGATGCTAGTCTGTGTTGACGTTGCTCTCAAGGAAAAACGTTGAACTGAGTTCCAGTACAAAAAGGCCATGTTCCATCAAGATAATGCAAGACCACATGTGTCTGCATTCACAGGCTGGATTGTATGTGGACTCGACTGGGATCTTTTGCCACATCTACCATACAGCCTCAATATTTCGGATTTTTACCTTTTTCACACCTGCAACTGCATCTTGCTGGTGCTACTTTCCATTCTGCACAGGACGTCTGAAATGAAGTTGATCTGTTTTTGCACTTGCGGCCACCAGTTTCTGGGTGCCAAACCAAAGTGCTGGCAGAAATCACAGATTTGGGTGGTGATTACTATCCGCTTTTCCTAACTTTACTAACAGTGTTTTTTGGCAGAACACTTTCGTTATAACCAGTTACAATTTATGCCTAACATACACAACTAATATGTTCACTTCTTCACTTCAGGTAAATGGAGATAATTTGTTCCCTAACCTAAAGCGAAAGAGGGGAGGAATTTAAAAAATCTCAAATTACTAACTGACACCTAGATTATGAGTTTACTAACTAAAATTCTAAATAATTTTAAAATATTAAAAAAAAAATTATAATGTAAAAACATAAATTTTAAAAAAAAAAAAAATGATATTACATCAGCTATCCAGCACTCCTTCCCATCAGCCTTTATCACTCATTGTACATTTGACATAATTAATTTTAAAGTTTTAATTACCTTTCATGATTTTTTCAGGTATACTTTTAAAAGCTTCATTTCATGCAGCATCTAAATTTCATTGAAAAGTTTTTTTAAATGCAAATTCTGAAATTCCGGCTTTGAAAACCTGTCAGGACAGTATTAAAGATTTTGCTAAAGCTTCAAAAAAACAAAATTCTGTGACATTATAGATGATTTGATATATTTGAGATTTTAATATTTATTTCAAAATGGAAGAACATCTAAAATTCAAAAAGTAACAAACTATTACCCTCCTCTTCCTAAAAAAAGGCAGAGTAACAAACGTCTAATTACACAATTGAGAAGGCACATGCAACTGGGGCAAAATTAAAGGGATCTCTCTTTTTTGCATGAATCCCCCCCCCAAATAAATAAATAAAATAAAAACAGAAGTTTCATTTGATTCACCCTATGCCATGTTTCTATAGCAATTGCCTACTAGTTCTTAAACAAATCTTGAGTCTTTCCAGCTGAATAACCTTAAAAAAGTTAACCCTACGAGCCACATGGGTTTTTGGATCCGCATATATAAAAGAAAGTAAGAAAGCAAAATATCTTAAATTATAAGCTATTATATGTACCAAGTGACAAAAAAATCTCATGACCAGATAAAGCTGATCATGGCACTCAGAGGATTAAAAGGATGAAAAAATGAAACTATTATTTTCAACATTTCACAGTAGTATTTACAGCATTTTAATCCTTTCTTTTATATTTCCAATGCAGCCTATATTTTAAAACTGGTACCAGTTACAATTTGTATCTCGTTGAACCAAAAACAACTTTTTACAGCATTAAAAATTAAGCAGACAAACATTAAAACTAATAAAATATATCAGTAAATAATTCTAAATTTAGCTTCTTATTGATGTCTTATTAAACTGATAATTACATATGATAAAAATTTCAAACTTAAGATAAAAGCAAAAGACATACCTGTCGTGCCTTATAAATTCTACATCATGTCCTGCATGGCAAGTTTTTATACAATTTACGCAAATGGCATTCCTATCTGTGGTGTTACAGGTTCGACACCTAAATGTTCACACCAAAAAATTTATATGGGATTTATGGTTTCTAAAGGAGATAAATTTAAAACATATTACAGTCAAGTCTTTAATCCGAAATGATCTATAATCCGGACCTCAAAGCTACAAACTTTCTGCGCATGCGTAAACATATAATACCTTTACGCATGTACACATGCCTATATGCATGCACGTTAAATGTATAACAGACGGTATAAGCTAAACTAAAATTATCTACTTATCTATTTCAGTTAATGTTGCAGATTGCATTGTTCCTTAATCTTCTAATTGGATCCGGCTTATTATTTTTTGCAGAGTGTTAGAGCAATTTTATAAAAGTAAGCTTGAACTTTCGATTATGTCAAAAAGAATTTCCGATTCTGGAGCTGCCAAAGGGTCTGCAAAGCGAAAGCATGTTTCGATGTCCATCAAAGAAGAAGTGGAATTGCTGCAGCAAAAAATGGATAAAGGCATATCCTTTGTTTCTCTAACCATTCCGAAATATGTCTATCAATTTCACGCTGCTCTGCGCGGCGGCGGGGGGGGCAATGAACTGGAAGTTGATCTGTCAGCACTATCCTTATCAGATGTTTTTATCAGGGCATATGTTTTTATTTTATTCGGCTTATAATTCATTACTAAATGTAGTATTTCATCTCGATGTACTCTGTCTTTGATATGATTTAAATCAAATTCATTATAAATATCATGAATACACATCAAATACTTTTCTGGTTGCAATTTTCTAATTTCGACTATGCGTAATATATGCTTTACGCATGCGTGCGTTGAAAAAAAATGTTTAATAAAGTAAACAAATAAATATTAAGCTTTTTTTTTTGTAAATTTTGATACCCCTTAGATCATAATTGCTCTTTATTTCATAAATTACGGTTTCAGATTTTAAATTTTATAATTTCTGCATGCCATCTTACCAGATTTAAACTGATGATCCGGAATCGCCGAAGTCCCGATGAGTCCGGATTAAAGACTTCTGACTGTAACATGAGATAACTAAATTCAAATAATTTATAAAAAAGTACATGAATTCTTACCTGTAGAAATCATGCATTGGAAAACTTGTATAACTAGAAATTTTATACAAACATTGGCCACTATTAACAGCTTTTTCTACAGCATTGTGATTTTCAAATATTCGGTTTCCTATAATTTATTTTTGAAAGGAACAATAAAGTAAAATATTACATTATCAATTAACAACTTCAGTAAATAGTATAAATAAGGAATAAAATCAAAAACAGCAGATTCACAAAATTTACCTTTGAGGATAGGATTTACACCACTTGCTAAACAAAGTCCACCAAACCTATTATTGAAGATTTGATTGTATTCTAGAGTAGCTGTGGCATTGTTAGTGATTTCTACACCAGCTGCAAGTCCATCAAATATTCTGTTTCTCCTCAATACAGGGTGACTTTGTGTGCTGATCAGAACACCAGCTTGAGCATTTCGAAATATGTCATTTTCTTCTAAAACTCCTAATTACAAATATAAAGACCAAAATTATATTAAAGAAAATGCACAACACCACATTTTCACAACACAATCTATGTAAATTTTAAGAGAAATTAATTGTAATCAAATAACGCTACTTTCATAAATTTCTGAACTTTCAAACCTTCCCCACAGACAAAAAGTCAATTTCAAGCTTTGACTCAGACTTTCAGATTGACCCAAAAATATAAACACCAGGATAGAAAATTCATAAATTTATTTCGACAAGGAGGGGCTTTTCAGTATATTGCTTTATTTTCAGCAATATACTTAATATTTCAACAATTTTTTAATTAGTTATTTTTTTCTTCTTTCTCAACAAAGTACATGCAATCATTGCAGTTTTGCATATTTTCCTACAGCAACTACATAAAATTTGCAAGTAAATTATATAAACTATAAAAACTAATATGTAAAACCTTAAGTTCAATAACTACATGAAACTTGTAGAGTAGTTACCTCCATGTTATTAAATTACATTTTCTATTCTTACACAAATAAAAACAGAAAGTTGCGTAGCATTAAAAACTTATCCCATTCTTAACGTACACTATGAAAAAATATATACAGAAATACACATTTCATATTAACTAAAATCCTTTTATAAAAAATACATTGAAATAATGAGTCTAATAACTACTCAGATTCTGGGAGAGTTTTACCATTCAGGAGGTCAGACTACTGACGATCTCAATTTTTTTTTTTACTTCGAGTGAAAGTAATAAAATTAAGAACACTCACTGCTTTTATACTAAAAATAGCTTTAATAGTTATTTAATAATCTACAACAACTGTTACAGAATAATGTACAAAGCACGACCATAGATACTCACTCATTAATAAAGATAAAAAAGGAAAAAAAAAAAAAATTTACCTTTGCCGCCATTAAAGATGCATACGCCTCCATCCCGACCATCATATATCTTGTTTCTACGGAGAGTAGGATTACTATCTGTTTTTATCCAAACTCCAGCCATAGCATTGTCAAAAATTTCATTTTGTTCAAGAATTCCTAAGCCACCATTATACACCAGAACTCCACCATTTTGACCACCCCAGATTTTATTTCGACATATTATTGGATTGCTGCCCGTTCTAGAGTAGAAAATAAAAAGAATAAACAGAAAATAGTTACTTTTTTAGCTATAACAAAATAAACAAAAAATATAAATAATTATACTTCACAAAAAGTATCAATAAATCAAGATAAGAGCACATACAAACTAACAATAAATACACTTAAATCTATACTTAATTGAATATGGCAAGCATTAAAAGGAAAAAAATTAAGCTTTTGCAGACATAATTTATTTTAATACATCTAATTCTTTAAATATACTACACAACATCCTACTTTCTGAAATGCTTTTCTCTAAATAGTAAAATATAAATATTATCTTACTAGTGCGTTTGTACATAGTGGATGTTTTCATACACAGTGGAGCACCATTTATATGCTTTTTTTTTTTTTTTTTTTTTTTTTTTTTTTTTTTTTAAATGTCTTTTACATTTATAAATCGTTTCATTTTGGTCCCAATTCAGTCCTATTTATTCTAATGCTAAAACGTTTTTTATATGTCGCATAGCTTTCATTATACATTGCTTTTGCTTGATTTACTGCATTGGTTTTACATTTCCCAGTTTCACCGTTCCAGTATTTTCCCAAGAAATGAGGATAGGAGTAGGAAACAAAGGCTTGAGACATTGTAGTCTGGCACAGGAGTTGAAAACACTTTCATGAACAGAGGGGATAACTGGAAGGAAAAATTTATACAGTTTTTTCTTCTTAAAAATATGCTGCATAAGTAAACTAGGTGGAGCAGAATTACTGATACAAAAGTCCCAAAAATGAAAAGCATTCTCGTTAAAAGACAACAATTCAAATCCTAAAAAAAATTTGATGATAATTTTGGTTTGGCAAAAAATGAGTTAGCAAAGGAACTGGATATTCCTGTGACAACACTATGAGTGGGTTGAAGAATGGTTCAAGAATTTATACCCCAAAATATGATAATGATGATGAATAAGTGAATTAAAAGACGTTTTTAATATATTTTAATATGAATTAAAAGACATTTTTAAGGTTGATAAAACTGCCCTTTTCTTTAAGCTTATGCTGGTGAACCTTAGCTTTCAGAGGCATCTGGTGTCATGGAGCTAAACAAAGTAAAAAGCATCTCGCTGTTTAACTGTGTACAAATGCTGACGGTACACAGATAATGACTCCTTTAGTTATAGGAGAGTAAAAAAAAAATTAAAAATAATAATAATAATAATAATAATAATAATAAATAAAAAATAAATAAAAAAATAAAAAAACTAAAGCACTTTAAACATGTTAAAACTCTGTCATTAGAATATAAAGCAAATATAAAAGCATGTATGATTACAGAAATTTTTACAGAAAGACTCAAGAAAATGGACAAAACTAAGAGGAGACAAAACTGCAAAATTTTAGTTTTGATGGATCACCGTAACCTTTCTCAAATGACAGATTTCTTGCAAAATGAGGAAGTTGTTTTCCTCCCAGCAAATTGCACCAGCATAGTATACAACCTTTAGATCAGGGTGTCATTAAGAATTTTAAAATGTTGTACCAGCAAAAATTAATTCAAATAGTCCTTCAAAATATAACTATAGGAAATACACAGAAAAATTTTAATATTCTTGAGCTGTGAATATTGTTTTAATTGCCTGAACTCAAGAAAAATGACAAACAATTAAAAACTTGTTTATAGAGATTTTTGAAATCAGTCATGTGAAAGTGTTGAAGATAAAAATGATGATGAAACTGTTATTATGGATGAAGAAGATTGGAAACTATTGGGATTACATATTACAGATTGGATGTAATGACATCAGACTGTGATGCCAGTGTAATGACATCAGACTTATGCATGGTTGAAGAACTGATTGAAAACATTTTTTTACCAGATGAACATTTAAGTAGCTAGGATGAAGAAAAAAAATGAAGAAATAATACACCTTCTTTTCAAAATACTATCTACTGTAATCACACCCCCAGAAATTGATTTGTATGTAATAATAAAGGTGAGAAAACATATCAAGAACTGAATCTAATCATACAGCTTTGCTTAAAATTCAGAATCAAAAGACATCAGATGACAATTAAAGATTTTTCTTTAAAAAAAAAAATAAGTTAAATTTTGCTTAAAAATGTTTAGAAAAAAATTTTGTACTTATTTAAGATGGTAATTCAAATAAAGGTATGATTCCCCCCCTCAAATTTTAAGTAACTACATACCAAAATTTGCATTATGATTTAAAAAATATTAATTTGTATTATCATTTTTAAAATATTAATTATAAAAAATGTTTAACTATTTAAAATATAAATATGAATTAAATATTTACTTAAAATATTAATTTTTTAACTTGGAAACAGTTAATATTTTAAGCAAATTGAAAATACAATAATAAAATTGTGTATTATAAGTATCAGGTTAGTAGCATCAAAATTTGTGCAGCTAATATATATATATAATAAATACAATATTATAATCTCATTCATATAAATTAAAATTTTAAATTAAACAAAATAGATTAATTATTGCTGTGAACTAATTTGCAATATCATTAAATTCAGAAGAAAACATAAATAACTAAAGTGTAAGTATGTAAATACAAGAAAAAATAATACAATCTTAAATTTTTTTTTAATAAATTTTAATTTGTACAAAGTGAATAATTGTTGAGCAAGCAGGAGACAGATCTTTTCAAGGGAAAGTTGCCCCAAAACCTAACTCTTCAATTATACCCAATTTGTGTTTTGTCATCTATATAGGTATGGGTAAGAAATACACAAACCAAAATAGTGATAATTAAAATGAGAAATTTAAAATTTCACACACACATATATTTCACATTGTAAATTAAAATTTTGCTTATACATCTTTCTCATTTTCAAGTAATTTAAGAATGGTTCCTTGAGAGACACACAAAAAGTACTCTACTACACATATATTTTTACAACTGCTCTGAAATCTCACCTTATTTGTACACCAGAATACAGATGATTGAAAATATCATTATCTTCTAATCTGCCATGGCCATTATCATAAAAATAAACTCCAACCTATTAAAAAAAAAACAAAGAATCTTTTGATCCATTCATTTCTTTGAGTGAAAATTAAGGACTTTTTAAGATCCATGAATTTTATGGGGGAGGGGAGAGAAAATATAGCATTAACTGGCACTAAATGGGAAATGAAAAAAAGTACTTTTTAGCATCATAATACTAAAATATCACGAGGCATTACCACTAAACTACTAAAAAAAAATATTTAACATAACCACAAAACAAATTTGAAAATAAAGTACATTGCTTATAAGTTATAAATTTACCTTTACATTAAGAACATAACTTCTTGAAACATTTATATTTTACACTTTTAATCATCACATGTATTTTAAAGAAGATCTACAGCCACAATTAAAATTTTTTCTTTTTAATAACATTTAATAAAAAAGTACTATTAGAATCACATAAAGTAAGACACACATAATTTATGTATGTTGATTTTAAAAATGCAGCAGAATAATTATATATTAAAAGATTTAAAATATCCATAATAATAGAGAATATTTATTTTTAATCTGAAAATGTTATGGATATTTTTGTTAGTTGATACATGTTTTCTTCTCTTTAACTACTTTTCTAAATCTATTTACTTATAACTGATACTCAATAAACTGATACTGATGATCTACTTACAATGAACTGATAAGAATTCTTACTAGTCTCTTTACCACCTTCAGATAAAGCATCTGTTTATTTGATAATATTTTCAACATTACTCCTTTTAAGAAAAATTTGCTTTTCTCACGAATGAAGTTTTAATTAACAGTTAGCAGTTTCTTTTTTCACTTAACAGTTTCTTTTTTTCCGTCATATTATGACAAAAAATAAGCATATTTTTGATAAACATTCTTATGAAGAAATTCATAATATAAACCGAAATCAGCAATCAGAACTATTACAAGTGTTGAATTTATTGATTTATGCTAATTTTTATTTTCATCGTAAAAAGCACACTTTTCCTTAAAATTGGCTTTTCAAACAAGTAAGCGAACTGGAAAGAACACTTTACAAAAATAGATGTCAGAATTTAAAATGTTTTGTTGTTATTACATATCTGTTCGATTCCAAAGAGGAATTATTAATATCAAGTTCACAAAAGTTCCGAATTTGAGTTAGATTATCTATACTTTCTGTTTCTTCATCACTAGAGAAGTCAAACAACAAAATGTCATTACTTCCAGAATCATTTAGTGAAATTTCAGATTCACTATCTCAGTCATCTTCAGTTATAAGCTGCTCATTATCATTCATTTCTTCTTTTATTTTAGTGCCAAATTTAAAAGAAATAATATTCGCAGTAGTCGGAACACCGAGCTAGTGAAAAAAAAATTTCACGCCTTTAATTGTGTAAAAGAATTCAGTAAAACCTAACTTTGAAACCAGTTGATTTGCAGTTCTAACTTTACTGGATTACTAGCGTTATCTGTTAGAAACATTACACACTCAACGAGCAAAAAATTCGGGCAAATCAGTGTATTAGACTAGAAAAATGTTGCCTGAGCCACGATCGGAAAAATAAAAAAAGTGCCATTTCCAAGTACCCGAACGGCGTTTGGGCAAAACTGAGAAATGGTTATAGTTTCGTTATTCTAAAAAAACTGCATGCATTTAGAATTCAGACATTGCTAATCATAATTTTTTACTAATTTCAATAAACGAGACTCTAGAAACTTTATGAAACAGCATAATGCATTTTAATATATATATATATATATATATATATAACCCCAGTAACATGAAGTCACTTAAAGCAAACACTCAGTTAACATGAAACAAATTTTGGTTCCATCAACAATGTACATAATCTTATAGGAAGTTTTATAAGTTAATGTGAATTTCGGTTAGCATGAAAAGGTCTTATCGTAAACGACTCATGAGATCTGCAATTCACACTGCCATCACTGCATTCTGGAAATCTGTCTCATCACAACATATATAGAACCATTTTAGAAGAGCCTGGAGACATAAAGATGCTAATCTTGGAGAGACATTAAGTATTTTTTGGAAGCAGGCAAGATGAAAAATGAGCAATCACGTTCGCCGGGAATCGAACCACGGACTTCTGGAATACCAGCTCAGCATGCAGAACCACTACACCATGAAGGCGGGAGAAATAAATACCTTATATAATCCCCCTTTTAAAAGGCGACTGGGGTTTTTAGGGGACCCAATTGCCAAATCCTGCGTGGGGAGAAATCATCATACACCACCCTTTTAGTTCGGGCACCACTGTAGAGACATTAGGTATCTTTTTGGAAGCAGGCAAGATGAAAAATGAGCAATCGCCTTCACCAGGAATCAAACCAGCCCAGCGTGCAGAACCACTACACCCCGAAGGCACACTAGGAAGGCGGGAGAAATACCTTATAATCTCACTGATGAATTAGATGATGACTATGATACCACTTCATCTGACAAATGGAATATTTTACAAAAGACATTGCGAACCCTGTTGTTAGTTTTGAGGAGATTATTTAGAGCAGATGATGATGTTTCTGTGTGTGCTCCAGTGGAACCTGATTTACAAGTAGTTGTGTGAGAGGTGTAAGAAATATCATCAAAAGAAAGTGAGAAGGGCAGTACCACACTGGCCACCCACCAGTAATTGTTACATGGTTTGGACACTATGAATATTTTGCTGCAACATCTAAACTGACTACTAATTTTACAGAAGCCATGAGTACAGTTAGCTGTGAAGTTACCTTGCATTTTTGTTCAAATCTGCAACAGTGCAATAATCAGAAGAAATTTTTCACCATGAAATGAGCTGCGAGTACTTCCCCCCTTCCCCCCCAGGTTACGATACAGTAATTAATGTAGCACTGTAGTGTTTTCTTTTAAGACATACATGAACACTATTATACTATAAGTATGTACCAATATACTGTAAATCAGTGATCACCAAACCGTCGATCATTAGCTATTAGTAGCTCGGAGGGACATTTTCGATAGATCGCAGGGGGCCCATACAACAAAAACTGCTTATTTCTCCTGTGCAACTTCAATTACCAGCCTCATCTCATAGTTAATTGTATATACGTGAGGTTGTGCATGTTATGTTTTTAGTGTGTATATAAGACATTTGCTAAATTGGGTAGTTTGATTTATGCATTGGTACTAAGCCAGGTCTGTTCTAATGATAGCGTGTTCAATCAAAAAAACTTATCACTTTTATTCAGAATAGGAAACTGATTCCTTCTTTACCCAGGTAAAGGATAAATGTGTATTACTGTGTTATGCAAGTGTATCAGTTGGGAAAAATGAGAACATAGAATGCCACTCCAAAATAGTTCACACAGGGATTGAAAAGGATTTCTTACCAAATTCTGCTCTATAAAAAAAAAAAAAAAAAAAAAAAAAAAAAAAAAAAGGGCAAGGCAGCTAAAATTTCAACTTAATGATCAACAATAAACTTTTTTTTAAAATCATTAAACAAGAATAAAGGAGCAGCTAAGGCGTCATTCCGAGTTTCAAATATTATTGCACAGAATAAGAAACCATAGGAAGACTGTGAAATAATCAAAACTGCATTTTTAGAAGCTGCAGATGCATTATTTCACAGTTTCAAAGATAAAACTGAGATAATGTCTGCTATTAAATCTGTACAGCTTTCTGCAAATACAGTAGCAACAGTTGTGAGTTCTGATGCTACTCACAACTTAAAACTGATTCTGATCGCTGCAGCTATTTCTCCTGCAACTTGACGAATCAATTTGTATAGTTGATATAGCTCAGTTTCCCATTTTTTGCAAGAATGGTTTTTGATAATTTCAAAACAATAGAGGAATAGGTAAAGATTATACTGTTAATAGGACACACTACAGGACAGGACATATTTTCAGCTGTTAAAGATCTTATCAACTCTGAAAATATTCCTATAAATAAGTTAGTGGACTTAGCAAGTGATGTCACTGCATAGGTATGATGTATTGAAAACAGTCTTAAAAATATTAAAGTTTCAGCACATGCAATTCAGAGACGTTTGCTCAGAGCACTGACTGATGAACTAGACGGCCAGTATGGTGATATAGTGCTTCATATGGAAGTTGGTCAGTTGAGTGGAAGCAGAGGTTTACAGCATTTTCAAGAGTTGCTCCTTGCTTTAGTAGAATTTTTGAAAGAATGAGGCAAACGAGTGCTGTAAAAAATTTTAATAACTTTGGTTTCACTGCTTTTTCAGAAAAAATTCTCCAAGTAAGTGAAATTCATCACAAGCTTCCTCTGAAACATCTATTCTGTGTTAATAGCAATAATATACACTGGTTATCATAAATTAAGGAAAAATCACAAAAATCATGATTACTGAAAAAGTTACACGTAGAATTTAATTAAACTTACCCACAAATATACAACACATAGTAAGGTATCAAATAACATAAAAAGAAATTACTAGACAAATATGGTAGTATAGAAATTAGCACATGTATAAAATGAACAAATCGAAGGTGTCAGTTTGCTATAGGAAAAGTACCTTCAATATGGAATATGATCGCCTCTAGAAGCAATACAGCACATACAGTGATGTGTGATGCTTTCAATTATGCGGTCTATCAGTTCCATAGGAAGCAAGAACCATTGCTCTTGCAAAGCAGTTGCAAGCGCGACAAGGGTTTGAGGGAGCAGACTGAGAACAGCTAGACCTCTCCCTAAAGCATCCCAAACTCGTGCTCGATAGGATTCAAGTCCAATCATCGAGCTGGCCACTCCATGCGCATAATTGTTTCCTGTTGAAGATAATCATCTACGATGCGAGCCCTGTGTGGTCTTGCATTGTCGTCCTGTAACAGGAAAGCATCACCTATTGCCCCGGAATTGGGCGCACATAAACATCCAGGATGTCATCTCTATAAATCTGAGCATTCACGGTTCCCCTTGGAAAGACATGGAGGTCTGTGCGTCCACCCAAAGAGATGCCACCCCAAACACAGACACTGCCCCTTCCGTATGCATCTCTTTCATGGATGTTTGACGGATGATAATGGGTTCTAGGTTCTCTCCTTATCAAATAACGCTTACTATCACTTTCTAGACTAAACCTGGACTCATCCATAAAGAGAACCGCCCTCTATTGATCAGGCGTCCAGTGGACATGTTGTCGTGTCCACTGAAAACGGTCCCTCCTATGGCGTGATGTGAGTGGCACACAAATGGCTGGTTGCCTCGCATACAGACCACCTTCGCGAAGACTTTTACGCACAGTTGATGTTTACATGAACCTTCCAGTGTCTGCAGCAAGGATCTAAGAAGAGTCGGAGTAGCGGTTCTATTCCTGCGTGCACATAATGTCAAATATTGGTCATCGGCGCTCGTCATAGCTGTTGGCCGTCCTTGGCTGAACCTCCTAGATGCCGAATCTGTGGTTTGAAATTGCCTTCAAAGTCTATGAACCACAGAAGAACTCACATTTAGCCATCTGGCCACTCTTGTTTGACTTTGTCCTGCCTCTAGTCTCCCAATGGCTCTCCATCGCAGTTCTGCAGGCAAATGATGCCTGGAGGTCATTGTTACGAATTGGCTATCTCAGATTTCTGATGTCACTGTCACAGTGAAATATGTGGGCTTGCTCTCAAACATGGACTTTTATGTTCCTCGCAGATGACGTATTCCGAAAGCAGCGCCACTGATTTGCATATCACAGTTTTACTCAGCTATTCTTACTTGGCAACATATTCAAATTTTACACGGTTTGGCTTATTTTTTTAGGGAGTTATCGCTATTTTTGAGATTTTTCCTTAATTTATGATAACCAGTGTATTTTTCCATCTTGCCATGGGCACTTTCTAAAATTTTTAGCAGTCTATTATTATTATAAGTATTACGAAAACTCATAGTTAAAGTCTATCATAAATACATTATCGCATTTACAGAACATGCAAATTTTGGTGATAACCTCTTTAAATGGGATTCAGTCTCCCCCCCCCCAAAAAAAAATGTCTACAGACATTTGCCACTCCTAAGGCCGGAAGTGGTGGTCACTTTACTACAGAGGCACCTAATAGGTGTGCCATCTTTGCCTCCTATAAGGGGACAGAAAATATGCCTTTTTGGGATCGGAACGCTTCTAGGTGGCAGTCTTGGGGACTTGTATTTACATTAAATGCAACCTCAGTTTCTTCTTTCACTGACATCGACCCCTTGCTGGTAAGAGTAATCTATGGTCTAAATCCTTGCAGAAATTCCAAATTAACACATAATAGCGGGCTCAAGCTCAATCTTTTGAAAATTTATTTCCCAGTCTTTCTGAAAGTTTGTCATAGTTAACTTAAAGCATAATTGTAAGACCAAAATTGAAATTCAAAAAATTTTCTATCTTCCCCCACAAAAGTAGACAAATAATATTCTAACAGACAATTATTTTGTAAGGTTTGGCAAACAACTAATCAAGTTACTAACCAAAGCTTTTGTTCTGGAAGTAGCCGACTTCATCATTGTTTACAACTGTTACGTCATTATTACGAGCCATTGTTTACAATTCGGCTTATAATGCTCATTACAAGCCAAATCATTTGAATTCTATGTTCACTCAAAATGTTAACTGATATCCAAGAATGGCAGTCACAGAAAAAAGATGGAAATACTAGATATTTAAAATTAAGGACCTTTGCAAGTTTGGGCTAAATTAAGGCCTAGTGTGTTTGCATAGACTTCATTTTCTTCTATCAAACCCTGCCCTTTTTCATGCTGTGGAATAGAAAGAAGATTTAGTAATATTCAACCAACCAAATAACTACCACATCAACCTTTTAACTACCACATCAATCTTGAGACATATTAGAATGTCAACAAATATAATATTTAATATATTAAAAAACAAAATATTTAATAAATTTAATAATTTTTTCTTTTTTTCCTAGACCATTTTTTAAACATTAGTATACACAACTCTAATGCAGTCTTTTGAAGAGTTTTTACCTCACTTTCATTGTTATTCAATGATTGGAACTTGTACATAAAGAACTTTTAAACTTCGAAGCAAAAGAGGAAAAAAAAAAAGTTTGATGTTTGCTAATGTTGAAACTGAGATTCACAAGAATAATGTGACATAAAACTTATATGAATTATAATATAATGACATACCTGCTTTCCACTATGAATTCTGTTACGTCGTAAAACTGGAATACTTCCAGTTGTTATCCATACACCTGCTAGTGTGTTTGCATAGACTTCATTTTCTTCTATCAAACCCTGCCCTTTTTCATGCTGTGGAATAGAAAGAAGATTTAGTAATATTCAACCAACCAAATAAAAGAAAATCTACATATATATATGTACACTGCACAAAAAAATAGGGGGGGGACATTTCTGTATCTTCCTTTTTACTGGGTCAATTGACGGAATTCAAATAGCGTTTTTCATGTCATGTGCGACTAGATTTGTATAAAGTACTGTTCTATTACAGGCATTTTGACACAAAAACCGGATTTTTTCTGAAATGACATGCCAATTTTTTCTATATTTCGATTTTATGACTCAAATTATGCCTAAATATTAAATTTTGTAAAATTTGATGAGAAATTTACACAGAAAATCAAAATTTCTTTAAGTTTGCACAAAGAATAATTCACTTGGTGTTAATATATGGTAACCTATTTTACTTTCCTTTTTTACATTGTGCATGAGGGGGGAAAAAAGTCACATCATTCTTACTTTCAAATAATTTTAACAAAGTGCCTAACTACATTTGATCTTGCATCACTTTCAACAAATATGCCAAATTTCAAAACTCGCCAATATATAAATTCACGTATATCTTTGGAAATTTTGAATTAAAAACTCAATTTTCTGCAGGTATGCTTAGGAAAGCATCTACTTTAAGATGATGGTAAAAATTTTATGGATTTTAAAACAAATAAAAATTATTTAAAAATACAAATTTAAAAAATAAATCAAAAAATAGCCCAATTTTATTTGGAATGAACCTAAATTTTGAAATGTGAAAGAATTAATCAATTAAGTGTAATAAACAAAGAGTGATTAATAAATATATACAAAATTCAATTAACCTTGAGGAGCTCAAATTTTGAGAGCTAATTTTTTTAAAAACTACTCGTGCTATTTTTACAAAACTCGGCAGTTTGGCATAATTTATCATATAATCAAAATATGGGAAGAAATTGGCATTTTATTTCAGAAAACATACGATTTTTGTGTCAGAATACCTATATTAGAACAATGCTTTATGTAAATCTAATACATATCCAAGTCACGCTTTCAAGACATGAAACGCGCAAATTAAATTTTGTCAATCCGCCTACTAGAATGGGAGATATAAAGCTGTCCCCCCTTTTTTTTGTGTGCAGTGTACATATATTACACGCAGATATAAAAAATACGATGGGTTTGCTCTATGCGAACAAGCAACTTCTAATTAACTTTCCGCAATTTCAGGATCTTCCCCCTAGACCAGTACTTTTAAGAACATTCAAGCGTATTACGTAACCACTTCTGTAAATGAAGAACACACGTCATTTTGCGTTAGAAGAAGAGACCGCTTTCTCCCTCTGCTGCTGCTCTTCTCATCTGCCTTCCTTTGTTCGAATATTATAACACAGTGAATTTAAAGTTAATCTTATTTAGTAAAATTTAGTAAAGAATAAAGATATGAAGCTATAAACTTAAATCCTTCTGTGTCGTCATTGGATGCCACTTTACACTCAGCCACAACAATGTCCGGAATTCTGATGTGACCAAATTGCCAAGTTTCATTCATGTGCCTGACTGCCAAAATATTACAGTTAATTAATTAGCTTGCAGGATTTATTCTACGTGGGAAAAAAAGTCCTCTGGATTTATTTTCTAAATTCATCGGACGAGTGTCTAACTTCCATCCCAATGCCGTAAAGCGGGTCAATGAGTCATTCGCATAGTACTTTCATCATCTACAGACAACTCAGTGATTATTTTTGCTCGTGCTTTATGCTCTAAAATTTTGATGCATTAAACAACTTTTTAGTGTGTGGATTATGAATACAAGATTGAATACAGCCATATCAACAAATACAGAGGAAATAGCCACTATCGATGTAGCAAAATTCCTACTTACTATTTTTGATGGATCCAAAAGTAATATTCCTGTGGACAAATAGATATTCTACTATTTGAATAAAAGTGCAATGCAAAAAAAAATCAAGATAAGGACAAGCCACTAGTATTCTCCGAGTGCCTGAGAGGAGAAGCACTTGCATACTTCTTTCGCGAGTGTTTAGAAAAAGACTGGGAAGCAGTAAAAGAAAAAATTTCTTGAAATTATCTTGAAAATAGTGAAAATTCTGCTAGTAAATTACAAAAATTGTTGAATAGTTATAATCATATATATGTATAAAGTAAATATGATATTGGCTGTATTAAGATTAAACCCCCTAGAGTTGTATTAACTTCTGAGTTACCAATAGCCTATAGACCATATCAAGCATCTTCTAAAGATAATAGTGAAATTAAGAAGCAAATAGACAGGTTGTTAAATGCTGGGATAATTAAACCTTCTTATAGCCCTTATGCTTCTCCTGTAACTTTAGCTTATAAGCATGATGAACAGGCAAAAACTAGATTGTATATTGATTACAGAAAGCTTAATCAAATTACAAAAACTGATTCTAAGCCCATTGCTAGAATTGAAGCTGTATTAGATCAATTCAAAAAGATACTGAAAAAATAGCATTTACTACAAATTTTGGACTTTATGAGTTTACTAGACTACCTTTTGGTTGGAAGAATTCCCCAGTTGTTTTTCAAAAAGCTCTTAGACAAATTTTAAACAAATATCAGATTCAATTTGCTTTAAATTATTTTGATGATACAGTATTCTCTCCAAATTTTGATGAACATTTAAACCATCTTAAAATAATATTTGATATATGTGAAAAATAAAATATAAAATTAAAACAATCTAAATGTAATTTTGCTAAAGAAAAAATAAATTTTCTAGGACATGAAATTCAAGCAAGTAAATACCAGCCCAATAATGAAAATATAGAGGTTATTAAGAAATTGCAACCCCCTAAAAATGTTAAAGATTTGCAAAGATTTTTAGGAAGTATTAATGTATATATATCATAAATTTATTCAAAATTATGCTAAAATTAGAGCTAACAAATTTACTTAAGAAAGATACTCCCTATAAATGGACCGATCAATGTCAAATAGCTTTTCAAAAATTAAAAGATACACTAATTTATGGGCCTTTTTTAACTCTGTTTAATCCTAAATATCCTTGTCATGTATTTGTTTATGCATCTAAAGAAGCTATTGGTGCTATTTTTAAACAAGAATATCCTGATGGTAATTTACATCCAATTGCTTTTCATTCTAGAAAATTTAGATCTTATGAACAAAATTATGCAATTACTGAGCTGGAATGTTCATCTATTATTGATGCAATTGATAAATTTTATTATTTTTTACATGGTAATCATTTTACTGTATATACTGACCATGCTGCTCTAGTTCGGCTTAAAAATATAAAACATCCTGCAGGTCGCTTATTTAGATGGTCTTTAAAATTATATAAGATGATTTTGATATAAAGTATAAAAATGGATCCACTAATGTTGAAGCTGACATGCTATCTAGAAATCCTATTTGTCAGCATTTACGACTGCAATATATTATAATTAGAAGAAATAAATATATCCAAATTTAGATAATGTTTGCAATCCTAAGTATAAGAAAATGAATGATGTGTTATCTATTAAAAATCAAGGACTGTATAAAATTGTAATTCCAATGCCCCTTTGTACTAAGTTACTTGAAAAAGAACATCTACAATTTGGTCATAATGGCATGTCCTCAGTGCTAAATTTATTATCTCCTCAATATTATTGGCCAGGAATTGTTCAAGATGTTAGAAATTATTGCAAGCATTGTGAAGTATGTCAATTTAATAAGAAAAATAAACAAGAGATTTGGTTTAATGCAAAACTTACCATCAGTCAGTGAACCTATATATTCATATATGCTTTTTAATCTGTCAAACTCATCATATCAGAAGTGGTATTGTGTGTTGTAATTTTCTCCTTTTGAAAAGTAGTAAAATTGGATGCAATATGAGAGTAAATGTGATAATTTTCTGTAGTAAAAAAAAAAGTCCAAGTAGTGGGAGTTACAAGTATGAAACCTATTGCCTAGCAGTTAAGTTGCTGTTATTACAGGCAGATATGGATGGAAAAGGATCTTGAGAAACAACTTCTTGTCTTCCAAAGGGGTGAGAGAAACATTCAAACATTTTGCTGCATTTTTAAATAGTCTGCCCTATTTCTGAATGGCTAGCAGCAGCTCTAGACGGCAAAGGTTCTTTCTTCACAATTTCTACAGTACAATAAAAAAAACTACCTGAATTTAATGAATAATGAAATCAAACCTGAACTGAAGTATTTCCAAGGCAAATGTTCGTAGGCACACTTCCAATGTCATTATTTTCAACTCAGAAATACAAGGAAATGTTGTTACGGAAGTTACAAATTGATGATATATTTGAAAATAGCAGTGAGTACTTTCCATGTATGTTAATAGATGACAGCACCATCCTAATTCATAATCATTTTGTTAGTGACAAAGTACCAGCTCTGCAAGCAGAGTTCAGTTTGAAAATGATGATAGAACTGAATGACTGTACAGACAGAAGGAGCAAACTATTATCCATCTTTTTTAAGATGGGCAAAATGCCTGATACTCAGAGAAATATTTTCAGATTAAAATGCCTCTTATTTAAAAAGAACTTATAGGCACAGTCTTGTGCTAACCAAATCAATTGCAACTTGCGGTGATGTTATTAAACAAGAATGTTCAAATTCAAACAAAAAAAAAGTGGACTGGTGGTCAAAGACTATACAATTTAATTTTAATTTAAGCTGGCTCAGTAACTCTATTGCCATAACAAATTCAAATGTCAGCAGCGATAATGCAGACAGAAAATTATAAATTATCAGAGCTGGCAGGAACTAATGCAGCAAGCAAGCGGAGATTAAAAACACATTCTGCCCTACACACCAAACACCTCAGTATAAAAACTATCTAAGTGATCTATCTGCATTCTGGGGAGGAAATAGAAACGGGAAATTATAGTAAAGGCTGAAATTATAAACAAGTGAGTAATTTAGATAATAATAACTGTATATATATTTGAAGAATAATTTTCCTTCTCTGTATGTATTCGGTTTCTTTCTTCAACATGCTTCCTTTTCATTTTAGAATTTTTGAATTTAATTAAAGATTTCTGTTATTCTAAAAAAACTTCTTTAGCAATACAAACATTTAGAAGAAATATGAAATATATATGGTAAGGGCCGTTTACAGTGCTGGTGTGGCAGAATTTTTAGAATTTAGTGACACACAAAGCAACAAAATCTAGAAATACACAACTTGGAATTTAGAGCAGGCAACGGAAGCAGAAGTTAGAAAGGAACTAGTCAGTAAAATTTTGGATCTAAAGCGATAAATTTAATGTTCCACGTGATTGCACCAGGTGGGACAATGCCTAGCATCAGACCTGTGTAATATGCATTAAGACATATTAGATTAATCTTTTATATTGCCAGTTTCCAATTTCTTTATTAATCAAAAAATTCCTTTCTATAAAGCCTGTCCATGTGATAGGATTAGAAGCCTTTTTAATATTTTTCATGCTTGTGTCTAGTGAAAAGTAGAGAAAATAAAGGGAAGATGAACACGTTAAGAAAAAGATTCTAATATCAGAAGTAAAACATTCAAATATTATGTTTTCATTGTTCTTCCAGATGTTCTCCGAAAAGTAAAAACTTTCTGTAAAATACATCCATTACATATTAATACCATAGAGACATCTTTCATTTTGTCACATTTTTCTAGAACATTCTAGAATCATGGGTTTATAAAGCTTGCTTTCAAATCATTCTAAACTTTATAATTTGCATCCTTCTTCAAGTTGTGATGTCTAATGTCCTGAAGCAAAATTACCCCTACCAATTTTTTAACAGCAAAAGCCAGAAATATTTTGAAAAAAAGAAAAATCACAGAAAATATGTTTAAAATTAATTTTATAGAGAAAATTGATGCATATTCTGACAATTTACAAGTTTGAGACAATAACATGAGAAAACTTTTATCATGGAAAAATTAAAAAGAAGATATTTTTAATTAATTACATAGCTGTTTTCTTTTGCTAAGAACTGTTTCATAAATTGTGCTTTATAGCATTATACCTTATTTTTCAAACTCAAAACATTGTATAATAAGTGCCCAAAATAGAACTTTATAATATGACAGCAAAAAAATAAAAATGTTACATTTTAATGTTAGTTCTTAAATATAATTTCAATATATCACCATTATTTTAACGAAATTTATCAATGTTACATTGTTTAAAAAAAATCGTAGGAAAATTCCCAGATCTCAGAATTAAAAATTTACTATAGAAAATGATCTTAAAAATCGCCAAAATGTTGGTAATTCGCCAAATTTAGAGCCATTCAATAAAAGAATTCACATCTCCAAAAGCAAAAAGTTGTTTAAGATCTCTTCATTAGAAAAAGTGAAATAATTTCGAAATGCTTATGTTTCACTTATTGCTCAGAAACTAGAGTATCCCACATTTAAATTAGAAATAGGAACAAATTATAACCCATTCAAAAGATAACCATATTTATCAGTGAATTGCCAAAAAATATACCTCCAAAATGTTATTTCACACTCAAAATGGCAGTCATAAAAAGACAGAAATTTCACATGACTAAAATTAAGGACCTTCTGCCGATTTTGGCCAAAATTAAGGACTTTTAAGGACCAAAAATCGATTCCAAAAAGCTTAAGGACCTTGTTAAAATATGAAAATTTTATGACCTCCACTTTGAAAAGCATTAAAAAGTCCGCAAGCTAAGAAAAATGCATTAAAAAAGTCTAAGACAAGCTGCTTTGTGCAAAGCTTTACTATTTTTTAAATCATATGTAACATATACACAATTTGTTGTTGTTGCTAATCCTCCAGCCCAGCTTCTGTTATACAAAACTTAAACAGCTTAATTAAAAATGAAATTAACATATAGCACTCATGTTTGCACATTAGTTTTCTATCAAGAAACTATTTCTAAAATGCTGGATGGGAAACTGCTTAAAAATTAATAATATTACATAAAAAATTATCTATACAATTTAATCTTTTAGAGTTTTCTACAGAAAAACTTTAAAAAAAGGAACAGTGATAAAATATGCAATAAATCTTGTAGTAAACAGAATCAAGGGGAGAATCAATTTTCTAGTTGTTACTGCAGCATGAATTACATAAAAGTAAGGTTAAATTAATTGCCATAAATCAATTAATTGAACTAATTAGCATATTTATGAGGACCTGTATCTCAAAAAAAATTTTTATACTGTTTTTCAGAATAATACGATTTTAAGTATCTACTTTTAAAAGTATTATTTTACTCACTACATAAATACCGCCATGCTGCCCATGATGGATTTTATTATATCGTACAATAGGATCACTATTAGTCCGAATCTGGATACCAGCCAAAGCATTACCTAACAAAAGAAATACATAAATTTTAAAAGTAAAATCTCAGTCAACACAAAATTACATTTGTTGTATATAATAATAAAAACATTAAAATAAAAATTACCATAAATATTATTATGTTCAATTAAACCTCTTCCTTCCCCAAATATATAAACACCACCTTGATGGCCATTATATATTTCATTTCGCCTAAAATGAAACATAACATTTATAAGCGAATGCAATACAAGTATAAGTACCAACAAAATGCATATCATTATTTCAAGTACAGTGCTACATTATCAATTTTTACTTTACACAATATCATCCTTTAAATTATTTAGAGAAAATATGAGCACTTTTTTTGAATCTATATTTTGTATCGAATTTATTCTTTAATTTTTATAAAATGGATATAGAAAGTACATCATACAACATTAAAAAGAAGATTAATTTCTTTGGGAAGAGAAAAATATATTCTTAAAGAAACATAGTACTCCATTCAAATAACTGCTGGCCATTAAAATTATAACACCATGACAGACAAAAGATAATAAAACTAGAGATAATTTACAAATACCTCATAGTACAAGATTGAAAGGTTTCAAATTTCAAGGTGGTTCCAAGGTACAGGTAATTATTCCAAGCAGCCATTATGAGAAGCTGCTGCTACATTACTAATCATAATGTGGAATATTCTAGACATAACTTGGCATATTGTAATCTATCAGCCTTCAATTCCTTGTCATAGTTTAGTTATTGTAGCTACTACTGGTCATGTCAGTATCTCAGCGAATCTGAACATGGTGGCCAAGGCAATATAATATGTGTGTGGAGTATAATATGTGTTATGGCGTTAATATGCGTTGATCCATCTATCACAGTTCCCGATATCAACTCTTAATCATTCAGACATGTAAATTGATAACTTATAGATTAAAGAATGAAATGGCTATCATATAATTGATGAATTAGCAAAACAGATGCAGATCCTCCACAGTTCTATTTAACCCTCTGACTGCTCAATTTGTAGACCGAAATCGCTTCATAAATTGTGTAAATTTTTTTTTTCCCCAAATTTTAAATCTATATATATTGGAGAATTGAAAATGCATTTTTTCTTTCTAGAAAATATATTTTTTATATAGATTTTTATCATGAGAAACTAAGTTGCCAAAAATACCAATTTTTAAATGTTATCACCAAAAAAAATTTTTTTTTAATAAATTTCAGTCGAATTACAGTTAATTTCTATTTATTGCATAATATAAAAGGTAGAATTATAAAATTTAAGAAAATATAAAGCACTGAGGGAAAAATACATTAAAAATGCAGTTTAGTATGATAGAGTTCAAAACGGGGTTCAAGGCAAAGTCTAACTTCACAGTTTTTGCACAAGATTAAATAAATCTAATAAATAATCAATTTAATTATTAATCTAATCAAAAATCTAATTAATAATTCAATAATTTAATTAAATAATCAAGATAATCGCTGAATGTTTTCAAGCGGCCATTTCTGTAAGAAAAAAGCGGCAAAATGTTGTGTTTGAGCGGTAATACCACGTGCCTTCAAACGCCCCAATTTAGCGGACAACTAATGATAATTGTTGTCCAAAACGTAAACTAAACGTCTAATACTGTATATAATTTATTTCAGTGGTCAAATGGGAAAAAAACGGGATGCGCTCATCAATAAAGGAAGAAAAACACATGCCGCGGAAATCGCAGGATGAGCAGATTTTGCTACATTTGAGTTGCCCGTGGAAATCGCGAGATAAGCAGCCAGAGGGTTAAAACAATATCTGAGAAAAACAGTCCTGGAAGTCTGATAAAATGAATGAGATAATGCTCATGAAGAAAAGATATCTCATACTTCTTTTCATTTTTTTTAACTGGAAGTATATGTTTAAAGGTTATGTAAATATATCCAGCATAAAAACTTTTATGAATACAGTGTATATGTACACGGAGCAAAAAAAAGGGGGGCAGTTTTATATCTCCAGTTCTACTGGGCTGATTGACGAAATTCAAATAGCGTTTTTTCATATCTCGAAAGTGCGACTTAGGATATGTATTAGATTTAAATATAGCATTGTTCTGATATAGGTATTTTGACACAAAATCAGACTTTTTCTGAAATAACATACTAAGTTTTTTCCATATTTTGAATCTACGACTCAAATTACGCCAATCTACCAAGTTTTTTAAAAATCGCATGAGTAATTTTTAAAAAATCAGCTCTTAAAATTTTAGCTCCTCAATGTTAATTGAGTTTGATATATATTTATCAATCTCTCTTTTTTTATTAATCTTATTTCCTTTTTCTTTTCACATTTCAAAATTCAGGTTCATTAAAAATAAAATTTACCCATTTTTTTATGTTTTATTTTTAAATTTGTATTTTTTAATAATTTTTAAAAAATTTTCAAAAAAAATTTTGAATTATAATCCATAAAATTTTACCATCATCTTAAAGTAGATGTAGTTCTAAGCATACCTGCAAAAAATTAATAGTTTTTTATTTAAAATTTCCAAAAATACAAGTGAATTTATATATTGGCAGGTTTCGAAATTTGGCATATTAGTTGAAGGCGATAAAATATCTAATATGGTTTAAACACTTTGCTAAAACTATTTGAAATTAAGAACGATGCAACTTTTTTTCCGTTCATACACAATGTAAAATGGCCGCTCTGGCATAATGGAAGGAAAAGATATTAAAAAGTGCACCAAGCGAATTATTCTTGGCACAAACTGATAAAAATTGCACCAACATAAATGTTTGAATTTCTCCGCAAATTTCGCACCAAATTTTACAAAATTTAACATCTAGGCATAATTTGAGTCGTAGAATTGAAATATGGAACAAAATAGTTATGTTATTTCAGAAAAAGTCCGATTTTAAGTTGAAATGCCTATGTTAGAACAATGCTATATATAAATGTAAAACATATCCTAAGTCGCGCTTTCAAGACATGAAAAACACTATTTGAATTTTGTCAACTAGCCCAGTAGAATGGGAGATATAGAACTGTCCCCCTTCTTTTTTTTTTTTTTTTTTTTTTTTTTGCACAGTGTACAAATAGCTCTCTTATAACTTGGATCAAATTTTACAGTAAACAGTACAGCAAAGTACTTTATCATATCATGTTTTATGTATAATCACATGTTTTAAAGTAGAAGCAAAAACACTACACACAGTGCTACACGATTGAATTAACAAGGCACATATACATGTTTTAAACACGGTGAGGCAGCTTCTAAGAACGTTAAAAGCACAGAATATATATCAAAGAGACATGTAAAATAAATGACCTGGAATAAATATCATCATTAAACAAAAATTTAGCAAAATCCCACAAGAAATATAATATACAGTAATAACTATTCATTTACTAGAAAATTATAGTAATTGACTGCAGTGATTTGAAAACTACAAAAAGAGACAATGAAGAAATGTTACAATATGGATGCCCCCCTTTATGTTCTAAATCTTTGATAATTTATTAGACTATAATATAAAACTGCAATCAGGATTTCTAAAAACAAGACAAATAAGTCATTTGAAGATTTTGGTGCAAAAAGAAAAAAAAGTTTTATATATTAGAAAGGGCAGTTTCATCAAATTTCAGTGCATTATTACAGCTATATACTTAAGCTTGGAAGGAAAAAAGTCTCACCTAATAGTAGGATTACTATGAGATGTTATCCAGACCCCCGCAAAGTTGTTTGAATGAATTTTGTTTTCTATAAATTGACCTCTTCCATTTTCATGCACATATATACCTCCAGTCTGACCATTATGAATTTCACATCTTACAACAGTGGGATTTGCTCCTGCTTTCACTTCAAAGCCAGCAATTCTGTTGTTGTGAATGTCATTTGTTTCAAAATAGCCCTATAAAAGGTAGGGGAGAAAACCGAGTTACATAACTCAAAACACAATTTACAAATATCTCAACAAGACATTCCAGTTAATTTTTCTAACTTCTGCATGAACATTCATTTTATACTTGAAATTAACATTTTAAAAAAATATTTATTACATATAGATAAATATGAATTGTATATATTTCTCACCTTAAATAATTAATAAATTATTATAATGAACATTCAACATTCATGTATGTAATTATGAGTAATTTACTTTTACATTTGAAAAGTTGGATTCTTTCTTGATGATGCAGTTATCAAAAGCAATAATTCACTTTTAATGTATTCGCCTGCCATATTTTCAATTCAACCTTCTATATTTTTTAATAAATATGCCTGTGATTCTACTACTATAGTCCTTCTAAACCTTATAATTTAGCCCTTATCTAAAGCTTATTCCTATTATTTTTAAACTGTATGTTTTTGATGATTACCATTACAAATTAAACTCCTAAGTTTATTACATCATATTTTTTAATAGTTTTATCTCAGCCTTCTTAATAATTAACAATTGATTAAAAATCTCAATTTCTAATTTTTCTTTTCAAAAGTACATTTGGAATTTTCTTATACGTAAGAAAACAGATCATATCTTAAGATCATATCTTTGTTTCAAATCATGCCTTTATCATAACAATTTGCAGACAAATTTCATTAAAAACAATTTTTGGTTTAACAATGCAAAATGCAGATTTATATGTATAATAATAATGCTGGTCACAAATGTTTCCTTTTTATATCTATAAAACAAATAAAAATTTATTCAACAAAACTGCATCATTATGGCTGCAAGCTAAGCACATACAATTAAATAAAAATAAACAACAGTTTCTGCAGTTACATATTACAAAAAATTGCTCACCAAACCATTATCAAACGTAAAAACCCCAACATCACGACCATGATGAATGTGATTTCGTCGCATGATTGGATTAGCTTGATTCTTCACCCATACTCCAGCTAGAGCATTTCGGCTAATTTCATTTTCTTCATATACTCCCTGAAGATTTAGAAATTTAAATATGTACACACATACAAAATATAATAGTTAAAAATAAAAATTAATAATATTAAGGCTTAAATATTCAATCCACTTTAAAGCATCACAGTAATTATACAGCCAATTTGTGCCATATGTTGATAGTATTCATAATAATGGTATACATGAAACATAAACTAACATTAAAAATCAATATATTATTGAATGTGAGGGGTATGTTCTCTGCAGCTAAAAATACACTTTTTATGTAACTACATTAACATTTTTATGCAAATTTATATGTATGAATAAAAAAATTTATGGCTGCAAGCTAGACACATAGAATTAAATAAAATATTTAATACACATATTATTATACAATATTTTTCATATCAAAATTACCAACATACAATAAATAATAATTGTTACTTAATAATCATATTTGAAGGCAGTCTGTAGTTTATACAGAGACTCGAACCTACAGCCCAATTTATTAGTAGTCAATGCAAAAACAACATTTAAACACTTTTATATGTGACTTCTAATGCATATTTTTTAATTAACCAGTCTATGTTTAATATAAAATTTTAAAATATAGAAAACTGAAATATTAAAAATACTTTTTGCAAGTTACATCCGTATTTAATTGGAAATTCTCATTTCATTATTCAAGTAGAAATTCACTAAATTTACTTGTATGTTTTTGAGGTGAATATTTTAAGCTATATATAATAAATAATATGAAAATATAAACCATATATCTTTATGAAGTTTATAAATATTGCTTTTTATAGGAGAATTTTTAAAAAATCAATTCTAGGCAGAGACAAAAAATATACATGATTTATTCATATATTGCAAAATGTAAAGATTTGAAGTAACATGTTCAAAGAGTTCAGAATCAGAGAATCCTTTTTATAGCACAGAGGGACAAGAGAATGAAATTCCCTGACTTTCTAGGTGTGTTTTATGAAAATTCCAATCTATACACACCGGGTGTGCTGAGGGTAAATTAGGGGGTGATAGAAGTCAGCTATATGACCAGTATTCATCATAGAATGTATGGTTGGAACAAAAATGACGAGCCCTAAGTGCCATTGTAAATGGTATAATCACCACATCTTTCATGTTTGGACTTTTTCCTGTAGGACCATATGGAAAGCTTAACCTATGAATGCCCTGTTGACACGAATATGGATCTAATCATCAGGTTTGTCGTTGATGCCGGCGATACTCGGAAAATGCCTGCTGTCTTCGCAAATGTGTGTCAGTCCCTACTGTACAGATGTGAAGCCTGCATTACAGCTGGCTGAAGGTCTTTTGAGCAATTCCTTTGAGCATGTATATCAATTACATTCCTGTTTATAAAATGTTTTTTGAAGAATCTCGTCTCACTCTTATGTTAATTCTTTAAATGTGACAGTGGAAAACAGCCCTTAAGTTTCTCACCTCTTGCATTCCAACCATACATCCTATGAAGAATTGCTTGTACAGCTGCCTTCTATCACTCCCTAAAGTTTTGCCCACTTGTTCAGATTCATCCTGTATATATAGTCCCCAAATTTTACAAAATGTAATACTGGAAGATGCAACTAGTTACTGTGATTAAGTCGGTATCATTATCATGATTACCAGTACTGAGTACTGATTCATCGTTTGCAGCATTGGTGGCTTGCAGTCCTAATTTATGAGCACAGCTTTTTTGCTCCATAGTGGAATGTGTTGACAGAGTACTGTGGATTATATAATGCCATTTGCCAGATGTAGAGAGCTCTATACTATCCCCGAGGATTAATTTTTTGATTAAAAATGTCTATCGTCTATAAACTACAGTAGAAATGTAATAGTTCAAAAATGTAAAAAAGTATACTCTTCGTAAAATAAAATGAATGTAACAATAGTCACAATTAAGTCTACTTTTTCAGATATTAATCTAATTCCAAGTTTAATTAAACTCCCAGGTTGTTTGTCTCTAAAATATTTAGACAATAAAATTTCACACACAATTTACCTTCAGAATGTGCTATTACACATTACAAGGCAATAAATAGCTCTGAATAATGAATACTTACCTGTGCATAATCAGTAATATACAAGCCCACATTCTCACAATCACTTATATCACAATGTTTGATACTTGGTTCGGCTGCTTTTCCACTTACACATACTGCTGCGCCAACTTGAAAAAAGAAGGGGAAAAAATTCACTTTTTCCACAATATAAAATACTAGTCCACAGCATTAATGTATATAGAGAGAGGATAGTATAAATACTTAATATTACTAATAATATACCTGAATGGAATACATTTTTACAGCAATTTAAAAAGTTCATCAAATTATATTAAAATAATAATTACACAATTAAAAACCTGCCTTTCATAGAATTTTTTTTTACCTATTTAACTGAGTATTCAAATCTGTCCAAGATCCAAAATAAACGCATGTTTAAATTGAAATTTGTTTGCCAAGATTTTAAATATACTCTCATTGTATATATATAAAGAGAGAGAAACATAGTAATATGTCAAAAACAAAAATTACACCTGTCCTGCACTATAGCTGCTGGATGATTTTAACTCTGATTGCTTTAAGTTAAATATATGTAAAGGAAAAGAAATTATAACTACTTATTAAGTATTAAAGCAGACTTTTACTAATTCATACATCTCATACAATGAAGCATAAAAAAAATTGAGAAATATTTACTAATATTCAGGAATAAAAATCTGGAAAATGGGATGGAACAAAATGCAAGCTTTATTCACTTTTTCACTCACAAATGCTCAGCAGTTTTCTGTCCTCAGAGTCAAAACCAGGCATTGGAAATTAATTTCCCTCTTTTAAAACAGGTATTGTGTCTACCCTCAACAGTATATCAAAAGAAACACTTCTGCGTGTTTTCACTTTTGGAACATTTGATTAGTTAATTTATGCAAAAACCAGTTCTTTGGGAATAACCTATGAGAAACAGAGCTTTAAGCAAAATATCTTCATCTCAGTTATAACATAGCCCACGCAGCAGGCTGGAATGTTGTTTCCAGCAAAACTGTTTCAGTTAGGAACTCTCCAATGGTACCAGAAGAAGAGGTTTCTCAAAAAAGTTCCTCTAAGCCTCATGTGTTCTTAGATGCAATAAGCCTGTAGTACCATCCTTTTATTAATTCAAATAAAGTTTAACAGCAGGCACCAGCTTGTACCTACAGATGGCAACAATTATGGCTCAAATTAAAGATAATAGATAAACTGAAAATAATGAAACTAAATTATGAAACTAATGAAACTATGGGCTTTACAATTCTCATAACACAAAAGGTGGCTCTGGCCTGAATCGGCGTAAACGAGCCGAATGGCGAGAATTACTGGATGTTGCAGAATACAAATCGCTACACAATCAAATTTAGCAAAGTATCCTTCAAGCAGGGAGAACAAGATCTGATCTTACCTCTAAAAAACCTTTCTTTAAACACTCTCTACTTTCTAGTTCCTTTGAATATTGCACAAGCCAGAAATTCACAGTCTGGCAGGGAAATAGAACCGCATAACTGGTTAGAAAAGTAAATTATACTTTACAACCCCATAAGGAGCTTCACACAGTTTTTTTCCACTCATTTAAGAATTTTTCATTCAATGTTTAAGTATTTTCTACAGGAACTTTTCATATTAAGTAAATGTTTGAAATATACTTCCAATATATATATATATGTTGGCAAGGTCTCAACCTCGCAAACAACTGCAACAAGTTAATTATCTAATCAAGGATTGAATATTATCAACTAACTCCAACTTCCGCTGTATGCTGAGATTAGCATGAAAAGTTCTTGCTGTGTTCCGGCTGTCAGAACTTCGTGTCTCATAGAAGGGCGCTTCGTAGAATGAGCACAGCACAATATGTCCAGGAGGACAGGACAGAAGATGGTGAAGAGGGAAAAAACTGCTGCCTTGATACTTGATATCAAAGTAGCAGTTTTCCCACCTAATACATAATTTCCCCCTAATAATTTAGATAGTTAACTTGTTGCAATCGTTTGCGAGGTTGAGACCTTGCCAACCAAAGATGTGCATTTGAGTGTTTGCTATCAAAGTCTGAGCTAGAATTAAAACTCGAACGCAAAGTTTTTGTTTTTATCCATTTTGTGCACTCTGCGAGTTTTTCACTAAACTGATTGTGCAACTTTTGGTCTTGTTCATTCGCTCTCCCAATACTGTTGTAAGTTCAGGTTAGAATTCTAATATTCCTCTTTTCTGCCTTTCAGAGTGGAATGCGACCTTATGTTCTATGTTAATTATTGCTCATCTGAATGAGTACTATTGTTAGCATAAATTTAGGTATTTTGCATAATGAAACTCAAAAGGCATACAAAATGAACGTGCGCCAAGATATATATTGGCGAGAGAAAGTAAAGTTCGTGAGCAATGCAGTATATTTGACTTTCACCTTAGCTATGTGGAGTGTATTCAGTTAGTACTTTCTCTTTTCAGGTACGGTGTCAAAGTATGTTTTTTTTTTTTTTTTTTCCCCTTATTGCCTAAATAGGTAAGCCTGATGATATTTAGGACTGATGATGATTCTATGTAAGTTATTCTTTTTCAATACTTCAAGTTTTAATGTTTGTGAAGATTATTACTTTTATGTTATGCTTAAATCAAGCAAAATTCTCTTAATTTTTAAATAACGATTTCAAAGTTGATTTTTGGACTTATGATTATTTAATGAAAACTGCGCCTGAGGAAACTTACTCACTACGCCTTTAGTGCTAATGCACAAACCAACAACTATCACCTCTCTTAATTTGTAAAAACAATTTAGAATCACTCTGTATGTACAAAGAATACGTACTTTCATAAAAAATTCTGCACACAGCATTCATTATAGTGAAAATCACATTATGTATCTTTATTATAATTATTTATTGGTAATTTTTGCAGTATTTTGGTTTCAGAATTGTTAAGTTCCAGCCTGATATGCTTCAGTTTCTCCGAGCTGTGTTCAGAGTAGTGTTCCTATTATCAATAATTATGAATTAGCAATATTAAACCATTTTCAAGAGGGTTGCAGGAGAGCATTTTACTTCCACAACTTTTCCTTTGAATTTACATTCTATACAAAGTAAACTTCTGAAGGAAAATTAAAATGAACTGTCGAATGAATAAATAACTACTAAATTAATTTCAAAAACTGATGTTGCCTTAACAGACAGAAATGTAATATGTGAGGCCTTAGAGGATGCTTTTATAGAGTTATAGTTATATTCCTGTCACATAGCATGCCTTGAAAGTGCATTCTATGTATATACAAAATAGTAGTTATCCATATGTAACTGTAGTAGTTACAGTTGTTACACACAGCTCATACTACAAAGCTTACTCTCAAAAGCTAGTTCATTATAAAAAATAATATGTCAAATAATATGGCTTAAAACTATATATAACACTGATTTATGCCAAACTATATATTTAAAAAGAAAAGTTATCCTTTCTGATACTTGGCAAAGATTCAATATTCACATTGCTAATGATGTATCCCATATCAATCAATATTTATATTCCTAAAATGAACTATAAATTAGAATTAAATACTAAATGAGTTTAAATGCTTTCAAATATTTTGATGAATAGTTACGAGAAGCAAATGCTAAAGAAAAACCTCTTTCATCATCAAAACTGACACTATACAAATCACCAAACCACAAACATTAATGTTTACACATAACACATATTTGAACTGTACTGTCTTTTATTGGATGTTTTACTGTGTTTGAGTTCTGTAGTCCATAAAAAGCAGTTTCCTATATATATAAACACACACACATGACCTATTTTCAAATTTTGCTTACATATGCTGTTCCAGAAGAAAAGAAAGAAAATAAAAGATAAATTAATATTTAAAGTTTAATTCGAGCAATATATTACTTAAAAATGACTATGAATATATTTCTACAACTTAAAATATTTAAAAAAAATTAACTGAATTTTTTTAAGATATTTTAGCATTTATTGATTTGCTAAGTCAAGCTTAGCTTACTAGTTTATCTGTCTCTGAATATGCACTGCTCTCTTTTAGGGAGATTGACAAACTAATTGTGGGTAAAATAATCTCAAGATAACGGACTTGACATGAAGCGGAAGACAAATTATTTTTTTGATTTGTAAAGAAAAAACTTCTGAAATTAATTTTTATCATGAATATAGCACACTAATAGCCCATATTTAAAATAATTAAGCTTCTTTATTTAAAAACAAATAAATTAGGTTACAAAACAAAGAGAGGTTGAATAACATAAAACTTGAAAGGGACAGGCATTTTTGCCTACGATCACATTTTTAAAGATTTATATCCAAAAATTTCAATTTTTTCAATTTTAAATTGTAGAAATATATTCATGCAATGTAAAATAAATGCAAAATTATGCAATGCAAAATTAAACTGTAAATATTAATTTATCTTGAATTTTCTTTCCTTTCTTATAGGACAGCATATGTAAGAAAAATTTGAAAATAGGCTACATACTATAACATATATACTATTACTATAACACATACATATATATTAAAAATGACTCATCTCAGAGCAATGTAAGGGCTATTAAATCTGCTATATGTGCAGTTCTAAAGCAAATATCATCTTCCTCAGAAAAAAGGCCTAGGCTATCAATGTCTATGTAGCACTTCAATACTTACAAAAACATTCATTCACAGTGATGAAGTGATGAGCATAGACAAAACACAATCTACACATTATTTTACCCTTTTTCCAGGCACAGCATTTTCTACACACTGTCATTCATTTTACACAGCAAACCATTTGAACTTTCATTCCACAATTATTTTAACCCTCCAGGGGTTACAGACATAAAACTTTGCATGGAAGGATTGCTTTCAAATTTAATATGTAAAAAAAAAAAATTCTGCCAGCTCCAGTTGTATCCAATTTCAGGTTGAATGTACATTGGAAGAAAAGGAGTTGAATAGAAGGGCAAACGCTCAATGCTTGGAGGGTTAAGTAATAAATTTTGTACCCTCTCAAAACATTTAAAGGCGTGTAGCATCAAAGAGAGTCACATAATTTCCTTAGCAATTTACATATTGTTTGTAATTTATTGCATTACTTATTAAAAATTACTGCACTATTTATCTTCCCATTAATTAACAAGAGTACGTGATCCTGCAATACTTTGGTTGGAAAAGTATACCAAATTAAGATGAAGAATAAATGATCATGCAGAGATGTTTATGAAGAATCTAAAAAATCAGAAAAACCTTTAAAAAGAAACAAAGAAGACAAGTCCTTTACTATAAGCTTTGCAACATCATGACAGTCTAAAAATAAATAACAAATAAAAACAAATGTTTAATTACTCTACAAATGCAGAGCTGTTGATGCAGAGCCTTATAAGACTACTGCATTAATAATGAAATAAATTATCATACAGATGCTACAGATGCTATTACTGTTCATCACGTAGGCATACACACTCAGTACACTTAACTTCTGTCATCAGAATTTTATAATGTTATTAGCATAGTAATTAATGAATTCATTTATCTTTTTCTTAATACTTTACATTCCTCAACATTAAAACTAGCATTTTATTAACCTAATACTTAATATTGTCTCTAAAATTCTAAAATTAGTTGAATACAGCATCCCGATAAAACCTGAGACATAATTGTTATTTTATTATATTATTATTTTTTACTGGCTTTTTTTGGCTACTGCCAGAATAACTTGTATTGTTTCCTATTCTATATAGTTGCTATGTTATCTTTTGAAAAACAATACACAACAACAACACATTTAACTAGTGAAAAGAAAACATACCAACTGATGCACTCCTTATAATGCAGTGGTCTATTACAGGAGAACAGCTCTCAGTCACTTCTAAGCAGTAATGTTTGTGGTGTGGCACAGATGATGTTATATCTGGTGTGAACTAATAGAAAAACATAATATTATAATAAAATAAATGAACATAAGATACATAAAAAAATGGTTATGACAAAATTACACAATTCAGCTAACAACTTTTTAAGGGATGTATATTTCCATCAATCAAAGTGCTCTTATAGTAAATAAAACTTTAAAAACTAATATCTTTAAAAACCACTGGCCACTTGAATAATAGCTCTTACACATGTAATTATAAGTATTAGGTCATTTAGCACAACTAGAATAATCTGGAATGCTATGTGAAACACTGATGATATATACTGTAGTTATCAGGTAAGTATGTTAGACTGTCAACAGAATCAAATTGTCAAATAAAAATTAGATGTAATATTTTTTAGCTTATTTAAAATGATTGGTTATCAAGATGTGACTGAACATTTCTGCAGACACTGAAATGCAGATGCTCTGGTAATGTGAAACAAGTGAACACATAAATATATTTACCTTAAATTTCTCTATTTCTAGTATACTAAATGAATTCGAAAAAGAGAAATACATGTTGTCAGTTGAACAAAAGCACAGCATAATAAAAGCAATTTTTGAAGGAAACAGAAAAATTACTTCCAAGTGGATTGATGATAATGAAACTGAACACACTATTAAGCTGCATGAAACCCATTAAAAAAAAGATCAGAAACATTTTTAATCATATTTTGGGTGAGAGAAAAAGATGCAAATAAAAATTCCACAGTTAAGGTGATGGTAATAGATTCAAAAAATGAAATACACACCATGGTATATAAATCAGTAACACAGTTGCTGTAGATATAGAAAGCTACTTAAAAAGGTGAATGAGAAGGAATTTAAGCTATTGCTATGTTATATATACAATATATATAGTGTTACAAAATTTTACGAGCAAAAATGCAAGACAAAAGGCATTTGTTGTAGTAGGTACATGACATTCATGGAGAGGGAGATGAGACACATGATTATCCTGAAATAGAGCAAGAATGGGTTTTTATGCTGAAGCATACAAAACATAGGTATAGTGCATATGTTTTTGTATTGAAGCAATATTGTATTTTATAATCTATTTGTGATTTTCTCATTCTGAAAATTAAAACATTAAATAAACATTTAATGATGTAATAATGATGTCTTCAATCGTCCCCCATAAAAATTTATTGCATCTGTCTTATTTTAATATCCCCCCCAAAAAAAAGTACCAGCAAGGATTGGCAATGTGACAAGACTGGTACTTTTTATAAAAGGAGAGAAAATTCCTTGCTTTTCTTCTGTGACAAGCATCATGCAAAATTCTACCACTCAGAAGCGGACTGCAGATTTAGAATCTCAACAAAGTAGTGCTGTAATTCTGAAGCATTTTTAACATTTTCATGATGTAATTTTGATGTAACCTTAAAATTGATGTTCAAATAAAACCAAAAGAAACAACCTTCAATAAATCAGAGCAGTATTTATAAGTTTGCTAAAGGAAGGTTCAATGCACTAAAAGAGAGAATGAAGAAAAGATATGGTGCCAAGCCTATGAAAAAGGAATTCAAGAAAGGAGATGGATTAGGTAGTGGAACCCCAAATGTCGTCGAAGTGTATCTCCGAAGCTGTAGACATCCTTGCAAAGGCCCTTCCATGTGAAGATACCAAAAGATATAAAGTAAAGCATATATATCCAAAGAACTTAAATCTCAAGTAGGACACTATGGTAGACTTACACCTCACTTTGCAATGAGGGTTAGTTGTGCTTAGTCTTGGAGATAGCACTGCTCAGGATATGCAATCAATGATGGGGTTGATTGTTTTTGTGTACTGTTGCAATATTTTGTACTGTTTTATTTAGTTATTTATTTGATGCTTTTTTTTTTGTGATAATTTTAGGGATTATTTTATTTGAAATCAAATTTATAAGCAAAATCCTCCTGACTACTCTTTGCAAAAATTTTCATTGCCAAGTAGGCAACATTGGAAACTTCTTGCCAACTTGCTGGCCATTTGTAAGTTTTGGAAAAATGCACATTTGAAGTACTAGGCTAAATTTTTCACGAAATTTCAGATGGCCAATCTAAATACGACTCCAAATAAATTATAATATTAAAATCAATAGTTAAATTTAAAGCCATGAGGATTCAGTAGCAAATTAACTCTGATAATCCACAATTAAAAGAGATTTAGCTGAACTGTGTTTTAGATTTTACTCTATGAATGATTTGGGGAGTTATCGATATTTCTCATAAACTAAGGAGGAACTGCTTATTATTCATGTTTTGAGTTATTTACTGCCATTTATTTTGCTTGTGTCATTATTATTTACAATAAATAGCCAATTTCTTTCTGCTCATCCGGATTGAGCACTTAAGAGATAACCATGAACTCATACTCACAACAACATAAGAGATTTTGTATCGTGCATTATTTTATACGATTACTTACTTTTAATGTAACATGCCCTAAATATGCATGCTTTGCACCTTCAACAAATGTTATGGTTGACTCTGCATCCCGTTCCAAAATAACATTTTCAGCTACATTCCCTGGAGCTACAAATAAATAATACTTAGTTAAGCAAAATAAATTAACAATATAAATTTTATCTTATTTGATCTAAATATCCTTTGATCTTAAAATATCCATCTTATTTTATCAATGCAAAATTTTGCCATTTTTAGCTAAGAATTTAGAGAAAACATCACTTTATGAATATTCAATATTTTCAATCAAAAATTGAGTTACGCAGCTCAGTAATTTCCCCTTTATGTGATTAATAAGCAAATTTTAACCAAAAGTTATCTAAAAAATAAAGGAAATGTCTGTTAAAAGGAAAATATTGCGGATGAAGCAAAACTTCAATATAGGACATGCTTATAACATGTTCTTATAACTTAGTTCATGCAGTCAGACATTAACACTGGAAATGGTTAAAGGTCTATTATTTTGATTACTACCACTAATACTAACTAGGTGTAGCTGTTCAGCTTTCATTTTTGAAAGACAGCTGTTATTCATATTGCATCACTCTAGAAATAGCTTTCCTGGTCATAAAAAACAATTATGATTTAGCCCACTACCTCACAACCAAATTGAAAGTATAAATTCATTTATTATAAATTTATGCAAGTAAGACCTTTGAAAGGTTTGTGTCAAGACACTACAATTACTTTCCTCAGTTACTCAAAAAATATACTTTTTGAGAACCCATCACTATGTGTGTTCAAAAAGGGATAATTTTTGTTCCTTATGAACATCGAAGATCATATGTCACAAACTTTTTGTATTTTCTGTTTGAACTAGTGATGCATACATCTTTCAATATTGAACTTATCCCAAATGCAAATGATTCCATATCAGTAATGTGGAAGCAATATATCTTTTTACCAATCATTTGAGGTTACTTCTTTTACCAACTTTCATTAATTTCTTCAAATGACTTTTTCTAAGATTCAAATACTACCTGATATATGAATCTGAACTACACAAATAATTTACATTATTCATCCTTTAAATGCATCATGACCTAAAGTTACATGCATTGACGCTTCTGCACTCTGATGTGTAAATTTACATTCTTAAAGCAGAGGTAAATTTTATTCTTCTAGTTTAAAAATTTTTAAACTCAGTAACCAAGATAAAGTAGAACTGTTTGGGAAGAAAAGGAGGGAAGGCTTTATTCTATATGACTCAATTATAAACTTTCACTTGAATGTACAACACTTTTTTCAAATTTATTTTGATAACAGAATTTTTTTTTTAATTACTGTAGATCTGCTAACTTTCAATAATCAGGGGAGAAAAATTAAGGAGCTGATAAAATAAATATCACATACAGAAAATAAGCATAGATTATAAATTTTGAGATGTGATTAAACTCTTCAATTTGTTAAATCAATGCTGAACAATTTAACTTCATATGAGGCTTCTAACCAATATACATAATGAAATAATTGCATACATCTTATACATAAATATATATTTTAAGAACTAATTCTAGATTTTTCTTAATACATATAATAAAAATGCATTTAATATCACATTCAAGATGCAATAACATTATTAACAATGTTTCTTACCTGCACCAATCATAGCTACATTGGTATCAATTATAAGAAATTCTCCTTTATATACACCAGCATGTATAAAGATCAAAGGATTTTCTAGCTCTTCTGAATAATTAAATGCAGACTCAATGGTATCAAAATACTGAAAAGAAAAGAAAATTACTCAGAACTACTTGAATACCTAATATTAAAATAATAATCATTATTGCATTTCATGAATATTCTTCTTCTATTAGCACAACAGCCCAGTGTCCACCATCATCTTCCTTAGACTCTTCTCCCATTTCAGTCTAAATCTGGTCAGTTTCCAGTTCGTAATTTTAATAATGTTGTAGAGTTTCCCTTATTTTGCATAACAAATTTAAGTTTGATACATTTACTGAACTTCTCAACTTCCACTCACATTCTCTCATCAGGATGTAAATTTAAAGTGCATATTTAAATGGATGAATCTCGGACTTTATTTCAGAGCATGTTTTTGCTAGACAGCGCATGTTTCGTTGTTGCTTCGCTGTTATGCTAATAAGCCTCTTGGCCATTTCGGATTTATCATCATGCCTACTAAGTTTTTGTGAGTCAACCTGTTTCGCGTAACTTACGTGCTATCCAGCACTACTTATTTTAGATTTTGACTTGAATTATATTCCATGTTTTTAGTTTCACCACAAGTTTGACGGTGCCATTGTAATGCACAAAGATTGTGCTTTTCTGTTAACTATTTTAAATTTATACTTTCACCCTTCTTCTGAGCTGGTATTTATTTACATCTGTACCAGAATTTGACAGGTTCATTGTAGTATATAATTTAAGAGAACGACCCTACAGTGTTAAAGTCAGTCTTTGTCTGACTCCTTTTCTTACTGGTTTATAGTTAAAAATTTAACTTCAAAGGCAAATAAGACCAGTAAATTTCACATAATTAATTATACTGTATTTGACAAAATCATTTTTTATATAACTCATTACAGTACAAAGTCTCTAATCCGGACGTCCATTACCCGGAATCATCTATAATCCGGACCTCAAAGCAACAAACACGCATGCGCGTTCGATGCGCGCATCCGCTACACATGCGCCTTCTTGCAACTCAACTCTTGCTGAGATCCGATGGCTGAGTGACGTCATCTCGAACTATGAACTCTCGCTGGAGATCACGAGAACTCGGGACTGAGAAGTCGCACGCTGCATCGTGCAAATATTTAACCCTTTCATTATGTAAATATCCTGTAACCATTTGCGTCTTCATTAAATATATTTGTATTAAGAAAGTTTATCATTTATGGATTATCACTCTCAAGATTTTGCAGATAGAGTCCCTGAGAAGAATGCATCCAGTGGCCCTGGCCGAACCCATTTGGAACAAGGTAAGCAGTTTTGTTTTACCTTGATTAATTATTTAGAAGTAAGATAAAGAATATAAAATAATAATATTGTGGCGCCATAACGTGGGGCCATTGGGTTAAATTTGAACTGAAATTTAATAGATTTGCTTAAGCAAAAACATGGATTTAGAAAATTAAAAAGAAAGATCTCCTATAAGAGCAGTAGTTACGAGGCTAATAATAAATAGAAACATAAATTGCTAATGAGGGGGATAAAAATGTAATTGAAGAAACGATTGCTCAGTTAATTAGTAAAAGAAGAAGAACTAATCTTGGCGGATAATGGTATTGAAACTTTAATTGATGTAGCAAATTTAGAAGATGAAATAATGTCTAGAGAAGAGTATAACAGTAAAATTATTGTTTGGCAAATTACGCGCGAAAAGATATTTAGATAATAATTCCACATAGCGCTAATTCTACTTCATGTGGAAACTGTCACTGAATTCGCAAAACAAAATTAAACTCCCCAAATTGGCCCTGGAAACATTTTCGGGAAACAATGTGTGCAGTTGGCCCAGGGTTTGGATTTTAGGCAACGATTTGAGACAGCTGTACACGAAAACGAAAGTCTACATGCAGTAGATAAATTCAACTATTTAAAGTCAATTCTTACTTCCAATGCAGAAACTGCAATATAAGGGTTGACGTTAACAGCAGAGAATTACGAAAAGGCTGTGAAAATATTAAAAGATCGGTTTGGATGCAAAGAACTCATAATAGATACCCATATGAACAATTTATTAACTCTGGTTAAAAGGTCTGGCGATGTGACAGCACTTCGAAAATTATATGATCGTTGTGAAGTACAAATTAGAGGATTAGAATCGTGTAATATTTTACTGGTTTCGTACAGTACCTTATTGTATCCGATATTAATAAAGGTAATTCCGAATGATTTAGCACTAGAATTTAATAGGAAATATGAAGATGATAATCAGACAAAAATTACGAATTGCTCATTTTCTAAGAAAAGAATAGAAAGTCGAGAACGTACAGGATTTTTAATTAAGCCAACAGATTCTGAAGTCACTGAAAAGAAATCCCATTTTGAAAATAAGCGGCAGTTTCGAGACAGCGAAAGAAATTGGGATTATAATAAGGGTAGAATTCCTTCAGTGGCAGCGTTAAACACATCACTATCTAATAGCTGTTTATTCTGTTCTGAAAATCATACGTCAGAATCATGTCAAAAAACTGTGCCAGAGAAAAAGGAAGCGTTAAAGCGAAGGGGAATTTTGTTTCATGTGTGCCTCAAAAGATACCATTTAGCGAGGATGTGCAAATCGAAACTAACTTGTGGTATTTGCGATCGGCGACATCATACATTGATACACTCTGACGAAACGAATGCGTCAGACAAGAGTCCCGTCCAAAGGGGCAGTAGTCTCTTCTGTTTTCCTGATTGCGCAACAGCAAATAACTCATTTCTTCTGACAGCACGAGCTGAAATTATAAACACAGGCAATTGGCGCCAGCAAAGCGTTCGCTTGTTGTTTGATTTAGGATTCGCAGCGAACATTTATTAGAGAGGACATCTGTAAGAAATTAAAACTTCCCGTTATTGGAGAAGAAAAAATAAAAATATTCTCTTTCGGTTGCACAACGTCTGAAGCGCAGAATGTTAAAAAAACCAGGCTCATTTTGCGTAATTATATAGAATTAGAGAAAGTATTAGCACAAAAAACGAAACAACTTAAACAACTTACGTTGATAGAAATGTTTACTAAAGTAAACAAATAAATATTAAGCTATTTTTTTTTGTACATTTTGATACCCTTTAGATCATAATTGCTCTTTATTTCACAAATTATGGTTTCATATTTTTAATTGTATAATTTCTGCATGCCATCTTACCAGATTTAAATTGATGATCTATAACCAGGAAAAACCCCTAATCCCTAAATCGACAAGTCCGGATTACAGACTTTGTACTGTATAACTTTTGTCATCTCAATTCATCAATATTTACAGCACCAAAAATTTTTCATATGTTTTCCCCTTTAGAAATAGTTTATAGAGTTTCCTGTATTTTACTTAAGGGCCAGGGGTAAAAATATATTTCACAGGACCCCATGACGAAAATTGGCAGTTGGCCAGCAAGGCACAATTTCAAGGACACACTACACAAAACCAAAATAATAAGTCAAAGAATTGCACAAAATCAGCGTTCACGTACACATCGATCTATTTTTACTTTAAAAAAAAAAAAAATCAAAGAATTGCACAAACTCGGCATTGCGTTGATGTTGTCTATGTACACATCTATTTATTTTTACTGGGGAAAAAAAAAAAAAAAAAAAATCAGGAGAATGATGACATCATATTATGTTTAAACAAATTTACTCATCACCAAGATTGAACAAAATTTGTAGCCAATCGAAGCTCGCTAAACTGCATTTTAAATCACACAATAAAATAACATAGTAAAGGAAATACATATTATCGCATATATGCACTACAAAAAGGAAATACTGATTTATCATCATGTATGACATATCACCATATCAAGTTGATGCCAGCAAAATTCAATGAAAGTCAACAGAAACTCTAAACACCATCATAAATGAAGCAAACCTCTGATGAAAAACTTATGCTCTATCCCTCAAACTCGCTTTCAGAGTGTAATCCTCTAGTTTTCCTTGGCATGCTGTACCTTTATATCTCCATTTTAGTCCTTCCTTTGAATTGAAGGACAGCTTCATTTCATGTCTTTTTGAATATACTTAAAACTTTTGTATACTTAAAAGTTAAAAACGAGAAATTTATTGTTCTTGCAAAATTTGTATTAAAAGTGCTTCATCATTAGGTAATTCCCAAATTTCTACATCCATGATAAAAATTCCAATGAAATTAATTTACAGAACTTTACTTTGGTACAGCAAAATGGGGATTTCATATGAAGCTTCTTGCGAATTTAGATACTTATTTGATGACGCATAGTTTTTTAAAATGTTAATATAAAATAAGCATTTATTCAGAAACTTGGAGGGGGGAGCTATTCATCATTCCCTTCCTGGTAATAAATAATTTTCGCTCATTGATAAATCAGAATTTATTTTTCAAACATATCACAAAATTAAATCAGTTGTACTTGATATACATATTTATATATTATAAGATGTGTGTGATTGGCACAATTTCGACTGCTCAACAAAGCATTTTAAATGGCTCAACATACAGTCGACATACTATTAATTGTAGCATGCGATATTCATTTTAAAAACAAATTATGTTTTTATATTTTGTCGAATGAAGCATCTATGTACACGTGAAAGGTGCGTCTTTTTGCTTTGCGCAGGGGAGTACATTGCTTTTACATCTCCCAATTTATAAAAAGCAGGCTAATTTAGCTCTCCGAGAATCCACAAATTATATTTTGTGTTGTAGGACTGTATAAGTTATAAAAAGCAAGCTGATTCAGCTCTCTGAGAATCCATAAGTTATATTTTGTAGTGTAGGACTGTATAGGTAAAAACCATACAATTACTTCGAGGTATAAAAATAACAAGCATATATGGAAATATCTGACTATTCCTTTCCATAGATGGAATCACCTGCAAATCAAGCGTATTAATGATAGAGTCGCTTAAGCTGTGAAACACTGGTAGTATGCAGCAAGTTCGTTTGTAATGACTAAGCTCTAAACTGCATGGGAGTACCTCAGGGTATTATATAAAAGAAATCTTTTTCTAAAAGTCCCCACAAAGCCATCTCTTCTTTTAGATAGAAACCATTGTTCCTTCTACCATAGTTAACTGATCAGTACTTCCGTATTGATTAGGTTAGGTGATTTGAATATAATAAAGCACACAAAAGCTATTTGACTAAGGAGTGAGATGCATTTGTGGAGGATTTTTTTAAAGAAAACGAGTTCATATTCATGTTACGCAAGGGAAAAACCACCAAAACCGATCATGAATACAGCCTTCACTTGGGTTCAAAGAATGTCAAACTACCAGTATTCAGCGATTTAATCATTCAGCTACTGGTTGGGACACTTTTATAGAATATTTTCTAAGGGATGTTAGCTTGTATTTATAATGTTATTTATAAGTCAGCTTGTATTTATAATGTTATTTATAACTGTTTATAGTTCTGCCTTTTTTTTAATTTGCGGCCTTGAAAGCAGCCCCTGTATTTTTAATTTGTAGCCCTGAAAAGGGCTTTTTTCTTAAATGAGGTATTAAATCCTGCTAAGATTATCGTTTGAAGAATCTGAGCCATCTCACTCATCAATAATAAATTTCACGCACTCAACGGTTTTCTCCACCAGACAATCTTTTTCCACATTTTCTCTCCTTCTATTACATGTCTCATGCATTTAGCCCATTACATGTGAGTCACCAAATCAATCCCTTTCTCAATCAATTTATGGACTTTGTCCTTTTTAAAATTATGTTTTCAGATGCTACATATACTTTCACACTACTCCAACGAGTTCAGTTTGCAATGATAGGATGGCAAACAGAGCACAGCATGTTTAGCTTCAGCAGCTACAGCATCGATACGAAGCGATTCAAATTGTTTCGAACCTTAGAAATGAGAACTAAAAGTTCTGCTTTCAACATTTTATAATCATATTTATATATTCATTATGCAACTATTGTCATTCATTATGCCACTATTGCCATTTTTATATATAATGCATATATTTCATTTCTCAGGTTACAGCCCTCTTTACCACCCTCATCATCTCTCCTGTTCTCAAGCGACCTTTTAAGTAGTATGCTTCTCGGCCAAGGGCATATGAGACCTTCCAGCTTCCTTGAAGAACTTGAAGATATGCTTTCAGATAAAACACTGTAATAAGGTGCCCATTATTCAATACAATTACACTGTTTGGTTGCAGGTTAGGCAATAATTTTTTTTTTTCAAACCAATTTTCATAATATTCTGCACTCATTTCCCCATGATAATCTCTGGTTTTTTTTTTTTTTCCCCCCTTAGCTTTGAATATATCCCATGCTTCAGAAACAAAGCTGTTTTTGTTACCAGTGTGAATAACTATGCATCATGAGCCTTTTCCCAAGGAAGCAATTAAACCTGTTAAAACCATTCAAAAAGGCTACAAAAACATTCATTACGATAATCTTAGCAGAACTGCGCAGCATGTATCAAAGTATTTTACACTTTTTTCTTTTACTATTATAGCATAATAAAACACATTTACTATTATAACATAACAAAATTTTATCCAGCAGTATTAATTTTATTGGTGCTTTCATAAAAAATCTGGAAATCCACTACAGCACATGAAATAGTAAATACGAATAACTAATAAATTGAAACTATTAAGAAATGAATACAAGCAAATAAAGGTTATATGCTGTCTTACAGTTATATTTCTCCCTCGATAATGTTCTGGATTGTTGTCGTACTGTTCTTGATAGCCAGGACGCACATGTAAACCTCGGTACTATAAATAAATAAATAAAATAAAATAAACAAAATTAAAATAATTTTTCCAATATATTTAAAATAAAAACTTTCAAACTTAAAATAATATTAACATACCAATTGCTTAAAGCTTTCTTTCCATGGATTTTCATATTTACAATCTTCAGCTTGTGCAAATTCAAATACCTTCGGTTCAGGATTGAAAAGTGGAAGATCATATTCATAAACATTCTGATATAATGTTTTCCTAGAAGGAACACAGGAAAAATAACAAATCAGTTGCACAGATTCATAGCTCAAACATTTCAAATAAAATAAAAACAATTGAATGAATTTCAAAAATATACCAAAAAATGTATTATTTCTCTCACTAGAACTTGAAATTAACCAGCTGAGATCATTTCTTTCAATAACAGCAATTAATTTTGAAAGAAAATATATTTCTTTCAGATCATGCGCACTCTCCACCAAAGTCACGAATTCATTGCCGACTTTGGATAGCACCAGCAACTCATTGGTGATTAATTTTTCATCCAGTTAATTAGCATAAAAGTCAATGCTCATTTTCAAACTAGCAGCGCACTAAGAATTCTATACAAGAGCTTTGTGCATGGGGAGAACAACAGCACTGTATCATATAATATGTCCAAAACATTGTTCAGATTATATCTGGACTAGTCAGTAAACATATTTGGGCACAGTTATCTTGCACAAGATGATGGCACCAATTTTAATGGACCCCTCAGGAAGCTGGAATGAGTGGGACACAAACCTTTGGTTTTTCTCACATACAATGCAACCTCGTAAAGCATTCATGCAGCAGTAGAACACCTAATTTGAGTTCCTATGGCAGCCTGAAGGTATAAAACAAAATCTCTTGTAGTCGCCTCGTAGTTCAAGCTGACGACAGAAAACCACAGCTTAAAAGTGACCGGTTCCCCATTCGGTAAGATTTAAACCCTTGACTGAACTACCAGTGTTCAGAGACTTACTGCTCGGCCACTCATGGGCCAAGATGATTGAAGTAATAGCAATAAATGAAAAAAGGAATAGAAGAGTAAAGTAAAAGCTTTTGCAATTTTAGCAAACGCTAAATAAAATAAATGATATACTTGAAAAATATTCTCCAACTTACTATTTACTTATAATTAATTCTTTGGGTTTTGAAATAGCAGCAAAATGGTCTTCTGCTATAATTTTTACCACAGGAAAGTTGGACTGAACTTTAATAGTGAATCTGCTATTATGTAACATTTGAAAAACTACTGCACACTTTATGTCTGAATTAAAATACAGGGTAAGTTAAAAAAAAATCTAATTACAAATGGTTATGGCATACAATGTAGTCCTTTAAAATAGAAATGCTAAGGAAAGGTAATCAAAAGGAGCAAACAACAATCTATTGCTCATCTGATCTCCAAATCTAACAGACATAACACTTTACAATTATTTTTTTGTGTAGAAATATGTGAAAATTTTTGTGCCACTGCCATCCCAACATTATAAACTTTAAATCCACTTATCCGTACTGTTCCATCTGTAACATTCGATATGCTTCAACAAGTATGGACTGAAACTAACATGAACTAAAGACTGCATATGTGTTGCATAAAAAAAAGATCTCATATACAGCATTTGTAATATTCAGCAAGAAACTTGAACTGTCACAGTTTCAATTTCATGTATCACAGGTGCCAATTAAAGTATTTGCTGTAATAATATGTGAGAGGATGATTCTTTTTTATTTACCCTGCATAATGCCTTCCAGAACTTACTGTATTATAATAAGTTTTTAATTACTGTATATTCCAGTATATAAAGTGCACTTTAATTACTTAAGAACTTAAAAATTTTCACCATTGGAGAGCACGAAATGTCCATCATATTTGAATACATTCAGAATTCACATACTGAATTCTGTTTCATCTTCACCATTCCTGTCACTTTAACCCATAAATAAATAATCAGCTTCTGTTCCATCCAGATTGCTAGATATACTACATTTTTTAAATGATTTTTTAATTACATCAAGTTCAGTTTCATTCTATGCTTTTATTATTCACTCGCACACTATTTCTAGACTGACATGATGCATTTGACTTCCTTCTGTAAAATTTTTTTCATTTTCAAACATCCACATATTCCTGTAACTGTTGTTTTGAAGTTTCTTTGAATGGCTTATTGATGCACACATCTAAAGGCTGAACTAAAAGAGTTAATTGGCCTGGAATAAGTGCCATGGATACTTTTGTGTTTCACCGGCGCTAATCTCGCCAAGCAGACTTTACTGGCAACAACATACAGTATACACATAAAAAATGTTAACAAATGTTAGTTCTTAAGAATTTTTTTTTTTTTTTTATTTTGAAGGCATAACTTTTAATCACTAAATTTGGGTAAAAAACCCAATAAAAACAAAAAATTTGTAAAAAGACGTTAATTTAAGAATTTACTAGGCTTTCATGCTACAGCATCCTGATTCGCCGATTCACATCACATGACCCCAAGTGATCTCATCTCGCATAAATTAGGCTAAAAAAATCTAATTCTCTCCATAATTATCTACATTAATTTCAAGTTAAAGCTTACTTTTAAATACAAATTTAAATGCAGGAATTATTTCAATTCGTACGTGAATAGCTTACTCAGAAATTGCATAAAACCACAGTGTTTTGCTTCGCTGTGCATTCTTGAATTGATGAATTTAACCCATGACTTTGCCTTTTCTGTATTTTCGCCATTGAGTGAGCAGTGTAATTGCATCCAAATTGACTTAATTACCGTGAATGCCCTAGGGCATAAAATTGAACTATCTGGTAAAAATTCTATGTAATTGTATGCCAGTATTGAAAAAAACAATCAATCTGATATGAAACGACTGTGACCTAATTTGAAAATGAGTTGTAAAAGGTTACTAGCAAGGATATTCCGTTTGGCATCAGTTGTACCATTATTGGCAACTTTATCGCCTGCACCAGCAAAACGGAAAAGTGTCATGCCATGTCTCTTTCTTCTTCATATTATCTGTTAGATGGGACCTAACATATCCCCAACTAAAAGACTTTCTGAATTCTTTAAGGCAACAGGATGCTTTCAACAAACATTTCTTATCCATAATTTCACATTGTTTTCGTCTATCATTTCTCATGAACATGAATGAAAGCCCCATTTGGGAAATTACATTTTGGCATCGTCTTTCAAAAATAACCAAAGGTTTTAATTTTGTACCGTTTACTAAGCAGGAAATCACTATGGTGAGTTTTGCGTGCCTGTTATTTTCATGTGAACCATTTTTGTTCCTTTCACATCAATTGTTTCTATTTCCTATCAAATCCAACACCACTGGAATTTCATCCATATTTGAAATAAGTAAATAATTTTTTTGCCTTTGTAGGTCAATAATATATTTGTGGAAACTTATCAGTTTGTTACCCCACTCTTTTGCAAGTCTTTGCGAGACTAGTTTTTCCGCTCATAGAACTAAATTATTCCATGAAATAAATCAATTAAACCGGCTCAAAGTTGTTTTAAAGTTTTCACTTCCATTTGCATTCCTTTTGCCCACTTTAAGGTAAATAAAATTACACTGTTTCTTATTACAACTAATTCATTTGCCACCCAAGCGGTATAGTGGTTAGCATCGCTGACCTGCCATGCAAATAAATGTACACTGTTTCTTGTTACAACTAATGCATTTGCTACCCAACCGGTATAGTGGTTAGCATCATCGACTGTCGTGCCGAAGGGCCCGGGTTCGAATCTCAGAGAAGGCATGGATGTTTGTAAATATATAGTGTCCGTGGACATGGCAGCACTCTAAATATGTGGTGAGCCAAAAGTCGTCTCATGTGGTTTGGTGGAAGGGAAGCGGGGTTGGCTTGGAACCTTCTTCCCCCCATCTAAATTGGGGGTGGAACTGAGCTAAATCACACTGTCACCTGAATGGTGCTCAAGAATGTTGCCAACGGCAGGCATAATTTAGCACTCCTGGCTAGGAGGAATTTCATAAGCTTGGGCTGACTATGTCAGACAAGTGAGCATAAGCAACAACAACAATTAATATGTTTGGGGAATTTTCTAAAACCCAATTCACAACATTTTATTTTAGGATAGGCCATTTTGTTACTCCTTTATGTAAAGTACATTTATTCTTTGGCATATTAACTATTCTAATTTCATTTTTCTTCCACTCATGTATGGAGCTTTGACCAACAGCAAACATCCTTGCTCTAGCACTATTTCCATTTTCTTTGGCAAACTGAATGACTTGCATTTAGAACCAGCACTGGATTGGTTTTGTTTGGCAGAAGGCCATGTTACTGCTAAAAAGAACACTAGATCAACTGTATTTCAACTAAACCAAGTGCCTTCGATGTTCGCTTCAAAATCATGGCTTCGAAAACATCCAACTTCTAATACCACAGAAGTGCAATCCATTTTCGACCCCATTTAGGTTGGAAGTGCAGTCGAATTCCAAATTATGCCCCTCTTTCCTCAAAACCCTAGAATTACATTCTTGTGCCTATCTGCATTGAATAGAACTCATCCTTTTTGCAGAGTTATTTACTCACTCCATCATTTTCCCCAAACACATATTGTTCGCCTTATCGCTTGTCAAGTCAGTGTACCATTAAAAGAGTGTGCATTATATGGCAAATACACCTAAAAATAAAAATATATAGTTTGAAGTTATAGGTGTGAATTATAGACTGGTGCACGTTATATGCCGGAATATACAGTATTTTTTGAGTTTCTGTCAAGCCTTTCGGAAGAAACCTATCAGTCTGCTGTCAATAAAAATGATTTTCTGCTGATTATACGTGTGCTTGTATTCCTTCAAACATACATGTACATTAAACATATAATGCTACAGTTAATGAGCAACAGAAAAATAGGCACATAAATAATTAACATAACTATTACACTAGGAGTTATATAATAATTAAGTTCATTCACAAATTACCTCTCCTTCAACAATGATTTCAATTGAATTGATATGCACAATTTCAGAAATACTGTAATAAATACTAAACTTAAAAAAATTGTACTGTATACATATGAATAAAAAATAAGAACAAAAATTACCAAAGTTCTGTGTCACTACTAATGATATGGAAGCGCTTGCAAACTTGTGCTACACGGCACAGGTCTTGCTCCAACAAGTAAGAGAAAATAGTAAGCAGAACTTCATCTGGAAGCTCATACAAAAGATAATGTGCTGCTTCACCCGTATCTACAAATAAACATTCAGAAAATTAATCTTTTGAATATGAAAAAAAAAAAAAATGTACACAAGATAGCTCAATTAAAATCATTATTTTTGCTTAATTCAAATCTTCTAGATAAATTAATTACTATTTATAAGCTAAAATTCGCCCCTTAGCCATAGCCATACAAATACCATATATATATATATATATTCCTCTCCTTTTGTTAATCTGCTAGAGTGACCTATACTTTTTAGCTTAAAGAGACACATATATGCTTACTGAATCAACAACTAGCACAAACTTGGTCTGCATCCATCTGGTTCACTTCTTCTAACTATAATTTAGTAATTTCCAACATAAAATCATTTTTGCCAATTCAAACCATGCAAAAAGTTGTTTTCTTGAATAAATTTACTTTTAGAATAAGACCATTCCTGCATATTGTAATACACTGTAACACATCAGTGTAAACAAAAGGGTAACACTGCAGAGATGGACAGTCAACAGACATAAAGCAAGGGGTTAGAGCCTACTCCACAAGGATAATATCGCATTGATATTAAAGACAGGCCCCCCTTTTTTTTTAAAGTAGTCACCATAATCGGATAGACAAAAAAAGTCTGCAATGATGAACTAAACGTTATCATCAAATTTTAGTTTTAGATTCTTCATTACAGAATTTAAAACAGTGGTAAACTCAAGATCGTGTAATGCGACTTTAATTACAAACTGAGGGGACAGTGAGAATATTCTCATCTGAATCAAAGTCATGAAAGCATAATTTTAAAAAGAATGTAAGTTGAACAGTGTTGCTGAATAGAAAAATATAACAGTTATAATTTACAGATTTACATTATAAATATTTCTATTCATAACAAACCTAAGACTAGTGAAAAAATACATGATATTTATCTACAAAAATAAGTTCTATTTATCAATAATAATTATACTTTTGCTGATTCAAATCAATGTGGTTAATAAAAAGCATAAAATATCTTAACTCAAACCTGCACCAATTTGCAATGATGCATTTAGTTAAAATCTAGTTATTTTAACTAATAGCATTCATTCCATTTTAAAGAAAGAAAAATATACAGACAGTAAAAAAATTCGTAATTTTATTCTTATTCCATAAAGAGAAGGGCTCGCAGAATTTTATTTTTCATAACGATGATATATCTTACTATCAATAAATTTTTATGCAGGGTAATTCAGATGAAAAGCAGTAAGATGACTTTACCAGCTTGTATAATTCTAGAACATTAAACATACTGATATTTTGCAAGCTAAAAGGTATAAGACTATGTCATTAATTAAGACACAATAACATGCCGAACAAATACTAATTCAGAAGTCAAACAACAAAAATCAGCATTATATTTTCAAATTTTCACAGGACTAGTTTTGATGGTTTTACTGAACCACCATCCTCAGCTGCAAAAACGCAAATGAACGAGATAGAATATAATGATCAGGTAAGATAAGAAAGCCTGGACAGAAGATAAGCTAGTGATGCCATCTGTTGATGAAACCAGAACTAAAACATAATTTCTTTAAAGGCCGAAGGCAAAGAACCTGCTATTAAGTTCACTTTTGAACTTGAGACTTGCAATTTCTCTTCTGTTTCTCGACATTATGGTCACACGTAACACATCCAACTTCAGTACTACGGTTTACCGTAAACCTTCATCGGTTTGCCTTCCACCACACTTTCAATCATGTCTCCGACTAAACAAAAGTTAGCTTCATTTTATTCCTATGTTTTCCATGCTCTTCAAGTTTGCTCCTCCAAACTATCCCTTGATGAAGAACTAAATTATTTAAAAGCGATAGCTACTGACAGGGGCTTTTCATATTATTAATCAAACAGTTAAAAAATTCTCAACACACTAAAAGGCACACTCTTGTTTTAGGAGATCATAAAAACTCTGTTGTCATTCCCTTTCTTTCCATTAATTAGCTATAAAGTTGCACATATTTTGCAGAAATTTAACTTTCAGGTCGTTTATTCTCCCATCAATAAAATTCCGAGTTCCATACTCAAGGACCCCATTCCGGATATGAATTCCTAGGGTATTTATAAGATTCCTTGCCATTGTGGTTTAATTTACTTTGGCCAAACTAAGAGAGCCCTAAAATTTCGCGTCAAGGAACATGAGGCATATATTAGAAAGAGGAAACACAGAAGTCTTCTGTTGCCCAACATTGTTGGTCCAAAAATCACACTTTCAATTTTTCTGCTGCCAAAATTATTCAAAAAACATCTTCCATTGGAGAACTGGATTTTCTAGAGGCATTTCACATTCAAAAAAATCTTTCTGTTCTAGTTAACGATCCTAATTCCAATCCATCTTTGCCTTTGGGCTTTAAAGAAATTATGTCTTAGTTCTGGTTTCATCAACAGATGGCGCAACTAGCTTATTTTCTGTCCAGGCTTTCTTATCTTATCTGATCATTAGATCTTATCTTGTTCATTTGCGCTTGTGCAGCTGAGGATGGTGGTTCGGTAAAACCATCGAAACTATTCCTGTGAAAATTTGAAAATATAACACTGATTTTTGTTGTTTGACTTCTGAATTAGTATATCATTAGATTTAAAGCATTCATTAATTATCATATTAATGAATGAAAAAATTCTTAACAATCTAACGTTATTCAAACTATGGGTCCGATCCCATTTGAAAATTTAGTGTGGGGCTGCAAGGTGAAAATCTTTAAAAAAATTAGAATTGATAGTATATAACAGAGGTGGCCAAATCACGGCTCGCGAGCCATGTGCGGCTTTAGCAGGCGAGTGGTGCGGCTCTTGTGCAAATAAAATATATAAACTAACATTACTAAATGTCCTTCATTTCAAACCAGTTTTACTACTTTTAAAATGATGTAAATATGGATTTGTGGTTTTGGGGAAATCTAGTTGTGGCTCTCAAATATTCCTGAATTCCAACATGCGGCTCTTAATGACATGAAGTTTGTCCACCCATAACTAAGGATTGGCACTCTGAAATGGAGTCATAAAATTGTTTTCTTTTAACGAGAGGTCATTTTCATTTTTATAGGGCTGCATTGCCATCGAGTTTGAATAATACTGCTCTAGATGCTTTATTTAAAAAAAAAAAAATTGTTTCTTTATCTTTCACAAACAACTGCCAGATTGTATCAGACAGGCGATAAAATTCAAGTGCTCATAAAATTGACCACCTATAGCTCAATTGCAATTTTTTGCAATCAGTAAGACTCGTTGCAACTCCCCCCCCCCCCTGCATATGTCTGTCTGCCTGGCCATTTGTCTTAGGATAAGCAAGGAAACAGATACCAAAAGCCATGAAAATTAGATAAAATGAAGTGACAATATGCTCCATAATGTTTCACAGAGCTTTCTACAGTCACCAGTAACTAACATGACATTTTCCATTTCAGTTTCTTTTCATGCATGAATCAAGTATGATACAATGATGACCCACCACACCTCAGCTGATAAACTAAAACAGACCATTTTAAAATAAACCTTAATTCCATGAACCAAGTAAAAATAGAATAAATCTGAATTGATAAAATAAATCAAAATAAATCTGAATTCCATGAACCTAGCAAAATGAAATGCTAAAATGTTAAGAGAGAATCTCTTTTAGCTTCTGTTAATGATTCAAATCAGAAATGTACAAAAATGAATGTACTGCATGTCTTTCAATTAATGAATTTTGACTGCCGTTTTCTATTTCTTTTCTGTTTATTGATCTTTGGTGAAACTAGGGGAAGTTCTAAACATACACAAGATAAGCTCTTTTGCTGCTGTTTCACTATAATTTTACTTTATATGAGATCACTTTGCTGTTTGGTGTTATACAAACCAAGAAGAAAAATTTTGCATTTTTCAATAACTCTGAAGAATTTCATATGCCAGTGACAAATTTGCATGTTTACAAAAAAAGAAATTTAACATTATTCCTCAAAGATATCTTTTTAAATGCTTGCATAGGTAACATAGGCAGCTGTCAATGATACCAATTTTTAAAGGGTACCAGTAAATTGTTCTCACAGGCCATAATTAAATACAGTTACATTTAACTTTAATTTATGAATATATTCTTTTTATATAGGACACTAACCATACTAATTGCCTAGAGTGCTGTAAAAACACTGGAGCCAAGCCTATTCACAGCAAGCTACCATATTTCATGATGATGATAATAGCCACAAATTTGAAAATTTTTAGATAATAGCAAAGTTAAAATGCAAAAATTTTTAATTAAAGAAATATGTGAAGAAATGCTAAATAAAGATATAACAGAAGTCTTTCACTGCAACAACAATCAAGTCAATAAATGGATGGCAAAATCTGTAGCAAGCCAAAATAACAAAAAATATAGCCATTTTGTCTCCAAGTCACATTTAATTTCATGACTGATTATTCAAACAGTCTTTCTTTGTGCAGCATGCTTCTTCCTCTAAAAAACCAGTATAACTACTTGTTAATTGCTTAAATATCCCAAACTGTAAAAATCTATTTCAATAATAAAAATGAAAATAAATAAATTAAAAAAAAACCACGATTAGCTGAAAACCTAATTGCATCAAGAAAGAAGCCAATAAACTGGTGATGTCTGTCTCCAAGGAAATATGAAAAAAAAAAAGAAAAAAAGAAGAAGAGAAAGAAAAAAGAAAAGAAAGAAAAAAATGGGTGGGGCGAGAGAGAGAACGAAAAAGCACAAAGTGGCTTTTGACAGAAAAAAACCATGGAATTTTTTGATGATTTGGTTTAATTAATTATGACAAAGCACACTAGGGCTATCTGCCTAAGGGGAGGAATACCTTTGTGGAGGACTTTCTAAGGGAAACTGGCTCGTATCCACATTACACATGGGGAAAACCACGAAAACGCCCATGCAGCTAGCCCGTTTGCGAGATTCGAACCTCGGACCGAACTACCAGTGTTCAGTGACTTCACTGCTCGGCCGCTGGTGGGCCTGAATTTTTTTATGAATGCACTATGTAAAGAAATGCCAAATGAAGCTTATATAGCTGAAGTTACGCATCAGGAAAGAAGACAAATTAAACTGGTGATGTCTGGCACCAAGGAAATACACCAAACAAAAAAGCAGCAAATAGTACACAGATATGTTAATGTATCAATCAGCAGATGGCAAAACCTGCAGTATGGTTTTAAAACTGGAAATTATTGCCACAAATTGTGAAAAAAGTGATATAGAGAGTTAAGAGAATGAAAAGATTTCAAATGATTGCTTAACAGGAATTCTCACCAAGGAAATTACAGAATGTGAACAATTAAATTTTATAATTGAATACAAAATTATGTCCCTTTATAAAATTGAACAAAAATTACTAACACATAAAACTGCTTAAAAAACTTACACTGAGAAAAACTTTTCATGAAACAAGCAGATATTAACAATGAGCTCTAATTTGGGAGAAGAATAAAATTTCCTTAAGATCATAAATGCTTCATTATTTTCTGGACGACCTTTCATATATTAACAACATGAACATTTTCATATAATATTTTCTGAACGACCTTTTATATTTTTCTTCAGCTGAGGGTAAATTCAGATGAGGGTTGATTCAGTAAAACTATTGAAATAGTCCTGTGAAAATTTCCAAATATAACGCTGATTTTCGTTGTTTGACTTCTAAATTAATATTTGTTCAGCGTGTTTTTACCTAGATCTTTCATATCTTCCACATTAATCTTACTAGATTTAAATATAATTCATATATCATATAATTGATTTTTTTCTTATAATTCATATTCTTTCATATCTTCTACATTAATCTTACTAGATTAATGTGCTTAAACTGGCGACGTAAAATCTAGAAATTTCGAAATGGATGTCACGACCATTCCAGATCTCATACTTCTTGATTTCTTAGTATGGCAATAATTTTATAAGAACTCAAAAGTGATAAAATAATAAATAAGGCTATAACCATTTAAAAACAGAAAATTAATCATATACAGAGTGAAATTTATTCATATACACACTGCAGTTTAATTTCAAAACCCCCGAATACTACAGCATCTCTCAATGTGCCTCACAGAAAGAAGTCACAAGGACTCAGATCGGGAGAATATGGTGGCAAAGCTAACACAATAAAAACATGATATAATTTATCATAATAACATGCATACACACATATTTCCAAAGAATTTTGTTATGAAAGCAAAAGACAATGATTTTAGATATTAAAATGTTAATTTATATCTTGTATTGTTTCACAAAGTTGTTTACCTTTTTGGTCTCTCAACATTTAAAAAACATAATTGCTAAGTTTTGCTTGGGTTTTGAGAGCAGGGGATTAAATTCTGAAAATTACTGCATTTATATTTTTCTTTTCTAACACCTAAATTTCAGTATGATCATCACATTTGATCTAGACAACGACTTTTCACTTAATTCAAGTATTACATTAGAATCTAAAGTATGCATATAGAGCAGATGTTTTGAGAGGGATTTTTGATCCAAAAACTTCACATGTATTTTAGTTTAATGAGATAAATAACATTTCAGACTTCACAGCATCTAGGCTACCAATGCAAAAGGATGTTCTATGTTCTGACATAATACCATCCATATAATTTAATGCATTTTCAATAATATAACCATCGAAGTTAAACAGATTATAGATATAGTACTGTACATGAATGTTTATTTAAATATAGAAGAGGTACATTAAACAACATTTCATACTGTCTGCCATTTACCAGGAAATAGAAAATCTATGATTAGAAAGTATTTATTAATATAATAACTGCACAACATAAACATTTTAAGTAATTCATACAATTTGAGGCAACACTAAAAGCGATATCTTCAGTAGACAATGTCCCCCACTTTAATATTTTGTATAGCATATATCACCTTTCAACAGAATAAGGCATCATTTTTTAACATAGCAGTGATCTGTTTCTCAGCTCTCCTTTTTCATATTCCAAAAGTGTGATTTTGTATACATTTCTACGAGCTTTGACTATAACCATCCAAAGAAAGTTTTCTAAATCTGTTATCCCTCACATAATCCCCTTATCTCATCTAGCACTAATACTCTTTTCCTCCCACTTTGATATTTTGTACAGCATGCATCACTTTTAACAGAATAAGGCATCATTTTTTAACATAGCAGTGATCTGTTTCTCTTGTCTCCCTTTTTCATATTTCAAAAGTATGGTTTTATAATATTTATATATTTCTAAGAGCTTTGACTATAACCATCCAAAGAATGTGGCACTTTTTATTTTCATTTCAATACAGAATTTGAAAAATCCTTTAAAATATTACAATGCAAAATCCACAGTCATTTATATAAATTTCCTGCATACTCTGCATTATGATTTTTCAAAGGCTATGCATATATATATATATATAAATGAATTTAAACAGTAATCCATCAGAGATTACATATAATTACCATCTATCGTTGACTGGGAGGAGGAAAACGCACGTTTTTGCCGTTTCCGCGGTGCAGAAGAATGATTACACATTGAATCTGAGCTCAACACACCATTACTGCTAGAACCTGGACTACTGGGTTCCTGTGGAGAAAGTTTCCTTCTCAAGGCATAAGGTGACTGATGAGGAGAATTGATTCCACTTGTACTGGCACCAGGTGGGGAATAAATGATATGAGACTCTAAATCACGACCTGCAAGAAATTAAAAAAATCTCAACTTCATTTTAAGATTCTTATTCTGTATTTTGATATGCTATGGAAATCATTACACTCACTGAAGATAAACAGTATATTCAATGACTTTTAAGTTCTTCAAGATTATAAGGCTTTAACTGAAAAAAAATTTTGCATGTATCAACATGTCATATATACTTTTTATATTCCACTATAAATTACTTTGCAATGTAATCAAAGACAGCAAAAATGCTTATTGTTGCATGAACTCAATGCTGTGTTTCTTAGGACATAATTTTCATAACACAGCACTGAAATAAATGCACTTTGAATGTTAATAAATATGGGGCCTGCATTCCCTCTTGTTCAACAAACATTTGAAAGAAAACGGCTGCTTATGAACACCACCTCTATACGTTCATTTTTGTTCATGCTAAGAGTCATGAGAATATAAAAGTAAATTTTTTCCCCTTTTCTTTCGACTCTCTCTCTCTTGATAGTACAATACACATAGTTGCGATTTTGTGGTAAAAGTATTTTAGATAGGCTTATGAACAAATGTGTGTAAAACAGCATTTACATTGAAAATAATACAATGTTGATATCAATTTTTATGAGGTTGTAAGGGAGCTCTAAGGTCAATGAACAGGAAGTGGTAATCAGACAATGATAATTGCAAAGGTACTCATAAAGCTTCATAAAATGGCAAATAACAATGGCTTTATATTTCAGACAGACCCATCTTCTCATAGCATTTATTTGGCTAATAAATTGGTATTAGGCTTTTAGAGGATAAATTTATGCCTCGAAGGAAAGACAACTAAATTCCAAAATGGTCAAAATCAGGAATTTTATCTCATGGAAAATAACAAATACTAGCAATTTCAAAATTTAACCCATTTTTTAAAGATCAACATGATATGCAAAAGTATTATAATAAAAACATTTATTACATTAATGGAAAATAACGAATACTAGCAATTTCAAAATTTAACCCATTTTTTAAAGATCAACATGATATGCAAAAGTATTATAATAAAAACATTTATTACATTAATAAATTAATGTAATAAGTAAATGTAATTTATTACATTAGTAACAGACAGATTAAAGTAAGAAATTAAGAAATTACAGCAAGACTTTTTCTGTTTAGAGAGGGGAAAAATTAGCGACCGGAAGAATAATTGTTTGAATTTTATGTATATAATTCAAAATAATTGTTTAACTAAAGTAGCTTTTCCTAAAAATTTGCAAAGTGGCCTTTTTCCTTACCAATTCACAGAAATGTGGAGCCAAATTTTTAAGATACAGCAATTTGCACTTCTCTAAATAAGAAACCATATACCTACCTGCTTAATAAGAACATCTTACTGAAGGATGAAAGTGTATGCACTGAATATATGTATTTTAAACATAAGAAAAGAAAAATATGAGTTACTTAGAGCAGTAGTCTCGAACACAAATTGCTTGCATGTCACATACACAACTTGAAAGCAGCCAGTAAGCCAGATTTTTATTAACAAAATTTCAAACTTCCTACATTTAAACTCAAATTTCACTTACTATTTATCAAAACATACATAAATAATAATAATAATAATAATACTGCAAAGAAAAAATAACATTTTGTCATGTTTATTTTCTATCCGTAACAAATTCTGCTAATTGCATTTCATAATTCAAATGTATCATCAGCAGCTAAATATTAAATTTCCAGATTGATATTTATTGCAAATAATTCTAATATGTTGAATTAACCACTAAATAACTTACTTTAAAAATAAATGTAAAATAAACAAATTATGAAAACTTACCAAATTTTCAAAGAAAACTTCCCCAGTGGAACAAAACTTCAAAATATATAAGGACAACCTATTCTCTTTCCTTCATGAATTAAATTTTTATTGACACATGCAGAGAAAATACTAAAAATTATACATTTCTCTACTTTTCACTACAACCTGACACTTAAAGGTGTTTCAAATTAGTAACAATTGTAGCCTTAGACAGTGTTGCGAGAAAATTTTCAACTAAAATAGCAAAAGCAGACTAAAAAAGTCGCAAATGACGTCAAAATCACATGATGTTTTGTAACGTCAAAGTTACACATACTCACATGACCTCTGACGTCATCAAAAATTTACCATCTGTTGGTTCTGTAAGTTGCAGACTGTATTTGATTGTTAATCTCTTTAATTATGTATAGCCTTATCGAAAATTTTAAAACTATATTCCTCATTTAAAAATGTTTAAATATCCATTTATTTTTTAATTAATTCTCATTTAATTAAGGTTTCTTTATTTTAAATTAATTATCAGATATCCATTCTTAAGAGATTCCTCACGAGACTGTTAACACTTTTGTACTAAATTTTTTGAGTAAGCAGTTAATTCTTCTTCTTTTTTTTTTTTTTTTTTAATTGTGAACTTTTTAATTGAGGAATGCTTTCCAGTGAGTTTTCCATTCTGTGTGGTGGATTAGTTTCAGATTCTGGTTACTTAAGAAAGCCTTATTCATTCACTAGTAAACTTATTTGCGTTGTTATTTAGAAAATTTGCTTTGATTTTTAAGTCATTTCCTTTGCTTAGTTCTCAGCAATATTATAATCAGGAGTATGAATTTCATTTCTTTCTCTGTTTGGGTACGCAATATATGGCGGGCAAGACGCAACTTCTTTGGTTCAATTCATTATCACCACAGAAGTGACTTCAAAACAAATTGCACGGGAGACAAGGGAGAGTTGTGAGAGGTTTCCGAAGCATTTTTCCCCTTTTCTGTACATTTCCCTTACCCCTTTCTCATTACACTGGCATCAGGCTGCGCAGCCTTGCAAATAATATTGCCAGATGCTTATAAATAAACTTTTTTTAATACAGTCAAAAGTCTTTAATCCGGATTCGGCGGCTCCAGATGATCGTTTTTTCTGGATTATAGATCATCAGTTTAAATCTGGTAAGATGGCATGCAGAAATTATAAAATTAAAACACGAAAGCGTAATTTAGGAAATAAAAGAGCAATTATGATCTAAAGGGTATTAAAATTTACAAAAATAAAGTTCAATATTTATTTGTTTACTTTATTAAACATTTCTTTCAATGTACACTGGTGTGCAAAAATTAAGGACGAGACGGTTTTTTCAATACAACTTTGTACAAAAGCTTTCCAAATCAACACATTTAATACCGTAAGATCCCCAATACGTAAGGACATGAGTAATGTAAGCAACACTTACTAAAAGAGAAATCAGAGGGATAAAAAGAAGCTTTATTGAAAAGTAGCATGGAGTGCAATGCGACTGAAGACCTAAACATCCCTGTGATGGGTGTCCAGCAAGAAACATCCGGTCTTTAATAGGGGATATGATCTTCCCTGACTGCTAGGCAGGTTTCACAGCATCTGCCCATGCTGAGAATGAGGGTGTCAATGAGTTGTTGAGGCATTGCTGCCCATTCGTCTTGCAGCGCCAATCGAAGCTCCGGAATCGTTACTGGTGGTAAGGTACGAGCTGCCAAGCGTCTGCCTAGAAAATCCCATACATGCTCGATGGGATTGAAATCCGGAGATCGTGCTGGCCAATCCATACGTTCAATATCCTTACTCTCTAAGAGCTGTTCGGCAGCTACTGTGCGATGACATGGTGCATTATCGTCCATGAAAAGGAACTGCGGACCCATAGCGCCTCTAAAAAGACGCACATATGGAAGAAGAATCTCGTTACAATATCGGGTCCCATTGACTGAACCTGCATCAAAGATGTGAAGGTCTGTACGACTACCAAGCATGATGCCTCCCCAAACGAGAACACCGCCACCTCCATACCTGTCCCTTTCAATGATGTTCGAGGGATGTTTGTGGCTTCCTTGCTCTCTCCAGATGAGTATGCGATGAGAATCGCTACTCAGACTGAATATGCTCTCATCTGTAAAGAGTACTCGTCCCCATTCATTGTCTCTCCAATTCCGGTGTTCCCGGCACCACAGAGAACGCCTTCTCCGATGGGCAGGAGTTAGAGGTACACACCGTACAGGGCGTCGTGCAAACAGACCACCACCGTGCATTCTGGCCACGGTAAAACGCGATATCGGTTGTCCAGTCGCCTGTGTCGTGTGTCTAGTGATTTCTCCTGCTGTCTGCCGCCTGTTTCTTCTGGCCTGTAAGGCAATATACCGGTCATCTGCGGGTGTGGTTCCTCGTGGACGACCACTACTAAACCCCCGGATAGCTGTTCCTGTAGTTTGAAATTGTCTCCAAAGTCGTGAAACGATGCTGTGAGCAATTCCGAACTCTGCAGCCACACTTGTCACAATGCGGCCTTCCTCCAACTTCCCAATGATTCGACCTCGGGTAAGCATCCAGATGTTGCCTAACAGATTGATTATTCGCCATTTATCGCTGAGGCAGCAACTCGGTGTGATTTTAACTGCTATACGGCATGCAATCTCTTTGCCAGAAATACTAATCTTACACCGACAACATGCTTTATACTACTCAGACACTACCCCATGAAGTCTACCTGCATATCTGCGCATGTGCTACCGTACATCACCTTACTTAATCTCCTAATTGCTCTTTCTGTCCATTCTGCGTCTTTGTTCAGCTGATATGCTAATTTTTCGACTTCGTCCTTAATTTTTGCACACCAGTGTAAGTTGTTTAAGTTGCTTCGTTTTATGTGCTAATACTTTCTCTTTAAAATTCTATAAACAGACATAATTTGTTGTTGAGTTACAAAGTTCCGCTGTGCAAGTCCTATAATTGCCGTGTCGAGAATACCGACTAATTTGTCAATCGAAATTTTTTCGTTTTCAATAACCTCTCTGTCACTTTCTTCACTATCGGAAGCAGTACATCAAAACATGCTTTCGCTTTGTAAATGCTTTGGCAGCTCCAGAATTGGAAACTCTTTTTGACATAATCGAAAGTTCAAGCTTACTTTCTATAAAATTGCTCTAACAGTCTGCAAAAAATAATAAGCCGAATCCAACTAGAAGATTAAGGAACAACGCAATCTGCAAC